CTGCATTGTTTTTCTGCCTTGAACTTGAGGAACTCGCATTGAACACATCGTAATCTTGTCATATCTCCTTCCACCTCAAAACCTTCATCCTGAAACACAACAATCAGCAAACAACCGCTGACTAAATTCCCTTTATTTTTACAAATATTTGCACTGGATATATTTGATTTATGAACAGTCATGGATTTACACAATTGAAAAAATAACGGAAAAGTCTGCGGAGTATCAAAAACTTAAGCCAGCATGTTCATAGGTCGGAACTTTTGTACTAAGTATCGTTCAACTTAAACACTTGATTTTTATATACAAAACGGACACTTTTGAGGATCATTGCCTGATCTCTCAATTAAAGATATCCCTGCAGGGAAAGACCACTACGGAATATCGAGATTCACAACACAAAAGTTATAACTTCTGTATACGGTGGGATTTGAAAAAACAATTTTCAACCTTGGTTACGTCTTTACTTTCTATATTTTTACACATTGTGACTTTTAATATTTTTATCTTAAAACTAATAACTCAGTTATTTTAGAAGATAATTAAACGAACCTCAGATTCATCCTCAACCATTTCAACTTCATCATCTTGAAGTGGGTCATCCTGAACAATAAAAGATTAGAAAACATTTTTTTAAAATTCCGATTTCAATCTAACAAGGAACAATCATCTTAAGGATATCAATTGAAAAACTATCTTCGATGCTTATTAAAAAAGAAAGAAAAAAAAATGGACTTCAACAGGCAAGTTCAAGCTACCAACAGTTTATTCCAAGATAATTTGTATAGGGGGGAGGGAAGGGTAAATAATATCTTTAAACGTTAACCTAATCAACCCAAACAGAGATTACTGCTTTAGGTCCAGAGAAGACAGAAATCACACAGAATGAATGATAACAACCCATTATGAAGTTCTTGGGTAAAAAAAAAGATTTTTAGGCCGGTTTAAAAGGGTTAAAGGGGGGGGGGAATGTAATGAATATTCCACCTCAGCTAGGTTTGCCGGTTCATAATCCAGCTCTTCTTCCATATCATCCCGGGATACTTTCTCTTCAACTTCATTTTTCTTGTCATCACCCTTATCTTTTACATCTTCTTTCAAAGTAGTTGCCTCGTCTGTCAATTTTTCTGGAGTCTCCGGCATGATGAATAAAATTAAATCTGAAAAAATATAAATATAATCATTTTTGTTCGTTACTTCAATTTCATCAAAAAACATATCAGAGGGCAATATACTGACAATATAAAGAAAATATATATATATGAGGACCGTTGAAAATATCAAAAGTAATGAGAATTAATGAGGCAATATAAACTGGGGATTTGTCAACGATTTCAATCTCCACTTTAACTTCAGGTTCCTCTTACGGAGCAGAGACAATTCGCTCTCGAGTCTCGACTCAGTGCTGTTCAGTTCTTTGGAAAGTTCGGCAGCCTCATTCAAAATCTTGAGTTTAGAGGCCGACCGGACGATCTCCCTATTAAGTGAAGGAATTAGCAATCGTAACTCCTCAAGAGCCACACTTTGATTAAATCTTCTCATCCTTTCGGAGAAATTATGATTTATATTAACATTCGCTAGATCTTCACAAATCTGCTTTCTCGAAGTAATTTTAAGAGGTAGAAGCCTGGGTTGTAATATCACTGATTTCACAAATTTATCTGACTGTCCTTGTTTGTGAACTTTCGCCGCTCGCAACCATGCTGAATTCATTTGAATCCGAAAGATAAACTTGGGCTTCCTCCTTTGTCGTAGTTTGAAATCAGATGTTAAGATCAATTCTCTTTTCTTTGTTCTCTTGGAAACGTAAATGCCATGGTAGTCATAATTAGAGTATGTATCAGAATTGCGACGCGGCTGATAAACTATTGGAGGCGACTTGAAATCCGTAGATGGCCGACCAAAGTTTTCAATAGACTGCCGCGTAGGGAAATCATTGATCACCAACACTTCATCGTCACTATTATCACCAATTTCTTCGTCGAACGGTAGGGGGGTCCCGAAGCAATCAATGTTTTTAGTTTTAATTTTAGACTCTCCCATCCAGTTAGGAAGGGTCTTGTGCTTTGCATCCCGCCAGTTAGGAAGGGTCTTGTACTTAGCATCCCGCCAGTTGGGAAGGGTCTTGTGCTTCGGATTCCGCCGGTTAAAAAGGGTCTTATGCTGAGCATCCCGCCAGTTAAGACGGGTCTTATGCTTAGCATCCCGCCAGTTAGGAAGGGTCTTCGATTTACCCTCCCCTAGACCATGTACTACCCCATTCCAGTTTGGAAGAATATATCTTCGCGGGGCAGGTATTTTCGTAGATTCATGGTTCGTTATACTTCTTTTCGTTTTAATATCTTCACTTAAAGGGTTTAAAAAATTCTTCTCCACCGCGTCGACATTAAATAGAACCAAATTGGAGGTTTCGAAGTCGAATAGATGCGTCGTGGGATCCATTTAAGTCCATTTAATAGATTTTCAGTGAGATTTTAGTTTTACGGACATGATAAGAGGAAGATGCCGCAACTATTTTCAAAATTAAATATGAATCCACTTTTCACAATCAATAAATCAAATAAAGTGTAAAATAAAACCTTTTCAGCATCGTTTTAGCTTACTTTTTATTTTTTGATGAAATTAAACCATTTTACAAGCGTATGAGGATAATATAAAGCTAAAAATTTAGCTGTAAATAATTTTCTATTGATAATTTTATAAAACATTTTAATCGTCTTTGTTTTCATAATTGCGCAGACGCAGAGTAATAATTTTGTGCGCATGCGCCGTTTGTTACGAAATGGCGCATGCGCGTATTTAACACATCTACGCAGGCGCATATTTTTACTACCGACGCTTTGAGTTTGGTTTGGCGTGTATTCAAGAAAAATCTCGGTCGGAAATACGCCGAATTTTATTCCTGATTTTACTTGTTTCGACAAATGGATTTTGATATTTATTATTTCAGATAAATATTTACAAAGTGTTTGGTGAAAGCATCAGTCCTGTTGATTCCCGGAGGTTGGGCTAGTCTAGGTTGATCCCTAGACGTCAACATGGATCCGGCCGCCGATTTAAATAGTCTTAATGGGGTTCTAGGTAAATATAACATATTAATTTAGAATTGGTAATTTCCTAGTATACGATTTTTGGACCCCCCCCTCCCACAAAGGCTGCACCGATCGGACCCAAATTTTGTGTGGGACCTCAAGTGGGTAATTTCCTAGAGAACGATTTTTGGACGCCTCCCCCCTTTCCTTTCGATTTAGTACAAGACTGGTAATTTCATAGTAAACGATTTTTGGACCTCCCCCCCTCCTATCAATTTTGTACATGGATCTTAAATCTAAGACATGTGGCCGCAGCGCTCGGTCCAGAAAGTGTCTAAACTTAACCTAACCCGTGGCCGCAGCGCTCGGCCTCCTAGCCTGTCCTAGCCGCAGCGCTCGGCCCAGAAAGTGTCCAGAAATTCCTAACCCTAAATAACAAAAAAAATAAGAAATAGTAAATTTGCTGAAAATAAAGTGGTCATGTACAAAATAGATAGGAGGGGGGGGGCGGGGGGGCCATAAATCGTATACTAGGTCGGACCCTACAAGACTTTTTCAACAATTTTAATTAAATGTAAGACATGTGGCCGCAGCGCTCGGCCTCCTAGCCTGTCCTAGCCGCAGCGCTCGTCCCAGAAAGCGTGATAACTCAACCTAACCCGTGGCCGCAGCGCTTGGCCCCCTAGCCGCAGTGCTCGGCCCAGAAAGTGTCTCAACTTAACCTATCTCTAAATAAGCACTAATTTAATTGAGTATTGTTGATAAAGTTTAGCACAAAATTGATAGGAGGGGGGGGGGGGGTCCAAAAATCGTTCACTAGGACGGACCCCTCTAGTGACCACAGGGATCAGGTTAATGAACGATCAAAATTTTAAAAATTTGTGTTTAAAACTTTTTATTTTTGTTAAAGTTTGTCAATGCGCGAAAATATATTGTGAAATTCCCAAACTTTTTTTTTGTACTGTACAAAGAGAATCACAGATAAAGCCACAATTAAAAGTTGTAATGGAAGATGTGCGCGAACCGCCTAAAAAGCGTCTAGTATAATATAAGTCGGATTTAATCTCATTGCTATGTGACTGATTTATTCTGCTGTAACATGTCTGATTTGAAATGCAATTAATCTCAATGCTACATGTCTCCAATTAATATCAATGCTACATGTCTCCAATTAATCTCAATGCTACATGTCTCTAAATAATCTCAATGCTACATGTCTCCAATTAATCTCATTGCTACATGTCTTCAATTAATCTCAGTGCTACATGTCTCCAATTAATCTCAATGCTACATGTCTTCAATTAATCTCAATGCTACATGTCTCCAATTAATCTCATTGCTACGTGTCTTCAATTTAGCTCAATGCTACATGTCCGAACTATTCTTAATGCTACATGTCTGCAATTATTTTCAATGCTACGTGTCTAAAATTTAGCTCAATGCTACATGTCCGAATTATTCTTAATACTACATGTCTTGAAGAATTCTCAATGCTACTTGTAATTTTTAGAAAACGATTTTTGGACCCCCCTCCCCCCCTTCCAATCAATTTTTGTATAAGCGTCTCATATTTAATACATGGATAAAGTTGGTCATGTGATGTGGCCGCAGTGCCCGGTCCCGTAGCCCGTCCTAGCCGCGGCGCTCGGTCCCCTTGCTGCAGTGCTCGGCCCAGAAAGTGTTTAAAGCTAATCTAACCTTAAATATATACTAATTTTGCTGAAATTGAAGTTGTGTCCTGGCTGCATCGTTCGGCTTCCTTGTCTATTCTAGCCGCAGCGCTCATCCTAGAAATTGTCCTAACCTAACCCTGAAATAATACGTATTATATCATATCTGTTCGGTTCCATAGTAGTAAACCTATTGTGTAAGAATTCCCATTATTACACGGTTCAGGAGGAACAATTTTAATATTGTTCGCTTCCTAGCGTTTAATAATGCTTATTCTTAAACTGTAGGTGCAGAATTTTCATTTTTTAACGCTCAGACCGTGTAAGAATGGAAATTATTACATGGTCAGAGCGTGAAAGAATGTATATTCTTACACGCTCCAAGCATTAAAGAATGGAAATTATTACACTAGTTGAAAAATATTCATTCTTACGCGCTCCTTATATTGATCTTTTCAACAGAGATCAATATTGATATTAACTTAATTATTTTTTACTAACAACATGCACAGGGCAAACGCACCTTTTTCTTTTATATTAATACATGCAAACTTACCTTTTTATATTAAAAAATAACATGCTCACTTACCTTTTCATGCTCAATTACCTTTTCCGTTTTTTGAAGTATTGATATATCTTAATTCAGGAATTTCCATTTAAATCTTAACCCTAGTCCTGACAGAAGAGTGGAACCCCCCTGTGATTAATTAATATTTTCTGACCTTTCCAAAAAAAATTAACTATGAACTTTAAACTTTAAGTCTTCCATTGGACATTTTCATCAAACTACAGAGTCACAAAGCATACTGCCCGACTGCCTACTTTATTCAATTTTATTTTAGTTTTTCTTCATTCCAAACCAAGTTTGGTGAGATTTTGAAATAGTACGGTCAGAGCTTTTCAAAAATGAAAAGGTTTGCCATGTCTTCACAATTTCAATTAATTGTTTTTTTTTACTTTATTATAAAGTTCTAAATGTACCTCAGCGTGAGTCAGCAGTCACAATATCTTGCATAGCTCGAAATGATAAAGTGAAACCACAATCAAAACCTGAAAAAGTTTATAGTTTATAAAAACTTATCATTGAAATACTAGTGTCACAAAAACTTCTAGTGGGGTCTTAGCACTCCATGGCAATGAAAACAAACCAGTAAATCTTGCTTCATGAATAAAAGACAAAGATCTTCATCAGTTCATGTCGAACTGATTACTAGATAACCTGCTTTAATCTCCTCTTCTTGGAAGAATTAGGATCTAATATCCAGGAAATGATTTCTTCTGTAAATGATTTCAAGATTTTGTTCAGTAGATTAAGACAACCCAATACAATACCTTCTCCCCATCTAAAAAAACTCAGAGCACATTCAACATGCTTTATTTAAATGTAGTATCAACTTGAAAAACAAGCAATTTCATTAGAAATTGGTTAACAAACAAACTAAACAAAGGAAACAATCACACCACATGCATTACTTTTAAATTAAGAACAAATTTTTACTTATAAAATGGTTTTTAATATTTAACATTAGAAAATAAAAAACAGTGATAGGCAGAACAAGAGCATAAAACTTAATTGCAACATTTCATAATGTTAACTATTCCGCCTTGAAATAGTAGGATTTCACTAGAATTATTTTTTAGTATAATTTCTTCACTTGGGTATGTGCCCATGGAACCTCACAAATATGATATATTAATAATCTTATGAGGATAAAAATGTAATAATGGAATTCTTAAACTCGATGAAATAATCTTTATGTATTCTTTAACGAAGGCCGCCGTTTAAGAATTTCCATTATTACATTTTTTTCCTCATAATATTATCATAATAGATATTTGTTTGTTGTATATAGTTGAAATCTAGGTCTTTTACAAAATTGATGGTGGTGGGGGGGGGGGGGGGGCATAAAGCGTTCTCTAGGACAGACCCGCTACTTGTCTGAATTATACTCAATGCTACATGTCTGAATCAATCTTAATGCCACTTGTCTGAATTATTCTCAATGCTATATGTCTGAATCAATTTCAATGTTATATGTCAGAATTAATCTCAATGCTACATGTCTGAATCGATCTTAATTCCACTTGTCTTGAATTCATCTCGATGCTATATGTCTGAATTAATCTCAATGTTAAGTGTCTAAATTAATCTCAATGTATGAATTCCGACTAAAATACACTTAATTTCTGCATGTTAAAATACACTAAAATTAAAAATTATTCTTAATGCTACTTTTTAGAGTTCATACCAGAGTTTTTATCAATGCTAATGTAAATATTTATCTCAATGCTACATGTTTAAAATTAAATATTGATTGTTTGATAAAGTTCTTTTATTAATTTAGACATGTTCCCGTCTGCAGATATGCCGGAGAACTTTCTAGAGGACTCAGAACCTTTCTCAGGAACTCATACTTTAATCAAATATTGCACTTAGAGAACTAAAATATATTCTGTTCCGCTACATTTTGCTTCCTTGATTTTGGATCCTGTTGATCTAAGAGCAGAAAATCCCAACCCCCTTTCCACATCAACAAATCTAAGGACAAAAGTTTCCAATTTGAACAAGCTAATTAGAAGTTTCTTAATGTTTAAATTAAAACATTTATACCTTAAATATCGTAGTAATGGATCCCCCTTCATCGATCCAGTATCTTCCTTACATTCTCTACATATTTTTGTAGTAGAAATAAAATTCATTAAAATTTATTAAGTTTTTTGTTGCATGTTTTGATTAAATCTGGATGGAGTAGGGACTGTAGATAATGGTGAACAAAATAGAATTCAGGAACTGGAAACTCAAATACAGGTTTAATTGGTTTAATAAGTGTGTTTATGTTTATATATCACGGGTGTGATAATTTAAACATCTCTTTTCCGACTTCTTTGACCGTTCAGGAGTTCAGCCATTTATCGAGCTAGTTTTTTGAAAATGTTCAGGTTTCCAGAACTTTTGATTTCATATGGAATATCATTCCACATATTGATAACTCTTGCACTAAAAAAGTTTCTTCGTATTTCGGTTAAAGTCTGGTTTCTAGAAACTCAAGCTAGGATCTTTAATTCCCCTTAATTTAAATTAATTATTAAACAGTTAAGAAGCAATTTAAGAAAAAGCAAAGGAATAAAAATACCATAGTGCACAGCTCATAAGAACTTGCTATTTTTTTACTTCTTTCGAATTTCTAAGTTAAATTAAGTATGATCCGGACGTTAGAATTTAATTAGTAAGGACAATAATTAGTTTTTGATAAAAAGCTCATGAAAGCAATCGTTGAAAGTTGGAAGATAAAATTTATCTTTATCAGAGATAAATAAATGTCTTTAAAATGTCAAAATGTTGTCATAATTTTTCCTTTTTTAGCACGCCCAGTCGGAGAAGGTCAAGCTTGAGCAGAGAATGCAGGCCTGGAAGGAAGAGGAAACGAAAATAAAAACACAGGTAGATAATAGATATATATTATAGATAGATACTAGATAGATACTAGATAGATAATAGATAAATAATATATAAATAATATATAGATAATAGATACATATTATAGATAGATATTATAGATAGATACTAGATAGATAATAGATAGATAATATATGGATACTAGATAGATACTAGATAGATAATAGATATATATATATATATTATAGATAGATAATAGAAGATACTAGATAGATAATAGATAGATAATAGATAGATAATAGATAAATAATAGATTGTCCTAAGAAATAATCAGAAAGTGGTTAAAAACTAAGAATTTGAGCACCACCACACTTAATTTATATTATTTGGGGGTCTAACTAAGTTTTTAAATACTATTTTTTTAAAGACCAATGCTTTCAGACGCTCACTTATTTTTATCTACATTTTGTCTGAACGTTCTGATTCAGGGGTTCTTTTAAAAACTTTACATACGTTGTAGCACTCACGAGTCGCGAATCACAACTCACCAGTCACCATGGTTCAATTTTTAAATTTTTGGGCATGTTTAAAATCTGGAACATTTCGATCCATTGAAATCAAGGTCAAAATGTTTAACTCTTAAACTTTTCTTACATCTTCAATCAATCAATCTAAAAATGTCCAAATATTTAAATATTGAACCATGGTGATTGCCACATTGTCTAAAAGATCGTTTCTTTTGGGAAACCTTGTATGATTTTACATAATATTTTTTCCTTGTAGGTCGCCTCATTGACAGATCAGAATACAACCCTGTCCTCAGAGATTACCAATTTAAAGGATCAGGTTCCGATGCTTTGTAATAAAAAAGGGATTTCTTTTATAACTAGCTGAAGGGCCCAGCGTTGCCCGTAGAAAAAAAACCTTCGAAAAAAAAAATTTAAAATTTGAAGAAAAATAAATAAGAACAAAAAAAATTTTTTTAGTCTAGAACACCCTACCGGCCATCCATGAGTGTCCACAAAAAATTTCAGCCCAATCGGTCCAGTCGTTTGGCCGGCTTTAGGAAACATATATGAATGTATACATTTACGAATGTCTTGTTTTATTATATAGATTTATTCAATAATTGCTTCCATTATTTGTAATAATGCATTGTTTGCTTTTATAGCAATAATATAGGAATTGTTTGCTGTAACATTTATAAAGGATGTGTTTGCGCTATTTAGCAATTTTAAAAGAATTGTTTGCTCTAATGAACCATAATAAAGGGATCGTTTGCTCCATTTTGTAAAGTAAAGGAATCGTTTGCTCCATTTAGTAAAACTAAAAGAGATATTTGTGCTAAAGTAATTGTTTGCGTTATTTATCAATAATTAAAGGGACTACTTGCAAATGTTCTGGAGATCAAAATAGCTTTATTTATCAATGATTTTGACGTAAAAAAGGGATTTTTACTTAATTTATGAACAATTAAGGGATTTTCTGCTTTATTTATCAAAATAATAAGGATTAACACATGATTTTTTAAAGGAAAAAAAGATTTTTTTACTTCTTTTTTGTCAGTAATAAAGGGATTCGTTATTTGTTTTTTTTTTTTGCTTTATTTATTTTATTTATTTTCGCTCAAATATATATATTCAAATGCATGTTAGCGATAGCTGCCCAAACTGCTGAACCAAATTGGCTGAAAAGTTTAAAAAAAAAAAAAAAACTTTTTTTCAAACGGGTACTTCAGCTAGTGAGTAATAAAGGGATTGTTGCTGAATATTACGGACACAGATGGAATTTAAAGAATTTGAGCCGCGGTTTAAATCCGCCAAAACCCGGTTTGAATTAAGCGCCGTCTTAAATCTTTAAACATTTGATACAATTTTAAGTGGAACCAACCATATTTAAGCCGCCGCTCAAATTCTTTACATTCGGCCACTGGTTGCTTTATTGATTAGTAGTGAATATTTGTTAATAAAAACGAAAGGATTTTTATCAACATGATTTGAGCAGGGGGGGGGGTGATACTTGATTTTTAAAGAGAATATATAATACTTTAATCTCCTAGGTGGAGGTTACGAATGAAGAGATAATGGATATGAGAGAAAGCTTTAAAAAACTAGAATCCGAAAAGGAGAATTTATCTCTACAGGTCAGGGGGGAAACTGTATATTAAGGGAATTTGACATGCTTCATCCAGAATAGCATACACTTGGTATTAAAATGTCTTTTAATAGAATGTTTTTATGACGATTAAATTTGATCAACGTTACTACTTCTAGCAATAAAACATGATCAAAATATGACTATGGGATTCAAAGATCCGACAGGGTTCAAAAACGTTGTACTTCTATAAATCTGTTCATAAATAGGAGGGACAATCGTGAGAGTCCCGTTTTTTGGCCTTAACTTGACAAAGTTTTAAAATATATATCGAAAAACTAATAAATGTATGATAATACTAATCAGCGGCCGTGCTCCATACAAATCCTGTTGAAGCAATAATACAAATGGTCGACCAAAATTAGATGGAAATTATGAAAGTTACGACTTGAGACAACAATAATATAATATGGTCAAATTTCAACCTTGTGATATTTTTTTCGATTTTTCCCGAATTGTCTCAATAAGAAAAAAAATTAATTTTGACAAGTAGGCTTGAAAGTTTTTAACAAATATCACTTTTTCGATTTTAAAAACGTTATAAAAATCGAAATATTTAAGTTTGAGCTGTTCTTTTCAAAGATTTTATTGATTTACTTTCAAACAAACATGTTTGAAAAATATCATACTAATATTAAAAATTGCTATTTAGAATAAGCAGAAAGGAGAGAAACTGCAAATGTTAGAAAATAAACAGATTTCTTTAGAAAAGGAGCTCTCGGACTATAAGGTAATTTCTAGATTATTTTACTTGATAAGAACATTAATAATTTGACAAATTTTATATTTTTGTCGTGCTGTAAATTTGTGGAAAATCTATAACAATATACATATATTTTTTTAAAAAAATTGTTGGTTGGTTGGTTGACGGATTGATGGATCGGTGTTTTGATGGACGGATGGATTCATTGATGGATTCATAGATGGATTCATTTAAGTATTTATTGATGGATTGATCGATTGATTGATTGATTGATTGATTGATTGATTGATTGATCAGGAGAAAAGTGAGAAGCTTGTTAAATCTGAACTGAATGAACGGGAAGAAGGAAAGAAACTACGTGAAACTATTGTTCAGCTTCAATCCTCAGTCCAGGAATATGAATCCCGTATGCAGGTAAATAGGCAGGGGTGCATATTTTCTGAAGAAAAAAAATTCTTTCCCCCCATCCCTTTTTTAAAGAAAACAAATTCTAGAAAGTTTATATGCTTGCGCGGAAACAAAAATTTAGGATTTTTTCGCTAATTGGGGAAATTTAATGATTTTTAGGGGAACAGAAATTTATGTTTAGGTAAAAAGTATCATAAGTTTTTTTAATAATAAAAAAGTTGCGGTTTGATGTCCAATTTTTCATCCCCTCCAACCCCCCTCCTCCCTCCCAAGGGTGCTCTGGGAAAAAAAATTCCATATGTGCGAGTCATTTTTCAGGAGGCATTAGGGTAAATCTAGCTCAAAGGCGAAATTTCAGTATTTTAGAATAATTTATCCAAATGACCATCCATTTTACTTCGGCTAAATTGTTTTAACTTCTTTTCCCATAGTGACCTTTCTAACATTGTGTGAAACATCTTAAATGTTTTATTGATGTTTATGTTTTCTAGGCTCTAACCTCTTCTTCTGAGGAAGAAAAGAAAGCCTCCGCCACGGCTGAAACCAAGTTGAAGGAGGCAGAAGCTGGTCGTTCGGAGGCGGAGAGAAAGGTGAATGAACTGGAGGTCCAACTCACCGAAGCTGAGGCCAAAATATCTGCTACTTCCGGTGCCGGAGAGAGGCTGCAGGTTCTTGAGATTCAACTCCAAGAAATCAAAGATAAACTCTCCGAGGCTGAGGCAAAAGTGTTAGAGGCCACCAGTGCCGGGTACCCGGAGAAGGTTGAGGAGCTCGAGGGTAAACTGCGAGAAACCGAGGCCAAACTGTCCGAGGCTGAGGCTATTATGAGCGAATCTGCAGGGTTACCGGAAAAGTTAAGATTGTCGGAAGAGAAGTTTAAACAAAAGGAAATTGAACTCTCAGCGTTACAGAAAAGGAATCAGGTTAGAAGAATTATTCAAAAGAGAACGACCTTACTTGTAAAAGTGATCTATTTAGAGGGAAAACTGCTACATTTTTTCAGGTTTTTTTTCGATATAAAGACATCATTGGAGGGAGTTTTCGTGAAAAATAATGACGGGGATTAATGGAGCGTCGGCCTCGCATTCATTGAATGATGGATTGTCTGCTGATAATAATAGTGATACTAGTGGATTTCAAAGTTAATTATGTCCCATTTTTATCCTTCATCCCAATTAATTTTTCGCGAACGCTCCCTTTGAATAATCGTATTTGTATAGGAGGCTATCGGAGACAAAAACAAGAAGATTGCAGATTTGAATGCCGAGCTTACAAACCTCAAAACAGATTCGGCGGCCACCGAATCAAGGAACGAGTTCTTTATTTTATCAGTTATAACATTCATTTTAAAATTCTCTTCATAACATGAGTAAACAAGTAGATCTTAAAAGGGGANCATTTTTGGTTCAAATCTTTCAATTTTTTGGCTGCACGCCTAATTAGTGATCGAAATTCCTTTGAGATCATTTTATCTTTTTATCACAATCTAATGAACTCTTTAATTTAGCATGAACATGTTAAGAGATAACCTTGGTAAGTAATAAATAGATGAATACGATCTAAATGCAAGCATACATATTTTATAAACTGGAGCACTTAGCTTGGAAATGTATTCTTTTTTAGTTCAAAATTAAAGAAACTAATTTGGGAAAGCAGGAAAAACCAAGAAAAGCTGAAGTACATTCATAGAATGAATTAAAAATATTTTGACAAAAGAGGGAAACTTGTATTTTTAAACAACTCACACCTTACGAATTATGCACTTAATTGCTTCAAAATAATTTTCCCGTTGTAAATATTTAGTTGAGACGGTGTTCATCAGTATTATAATCAACTCATTTAGAAATTGTAGTAACATTTTCTTTGTCTTAACTGAAAATTTACAAAAATTCACTTTTTGTTCAGACGAGGTTAATAAGAGCCTGGAGAAGAAGAACGGAGAGTATGGAGAGATCGTTGGTAAACTACTCAATACGGAGCTAGTCCTCACCCAGATCAAGAACAACCTGGAGACAGTAACCAACCAACTGCAGACCAAGGAGGCCGAGATTTCAGGGCTCAAGCAACAACTCGCACAAAGCCAAAGCAGTTCAGGTTAGAAAAATGCGAGAAAAAAAAATAAATGAGTAAAAATAAGCTCGAATTTAAATACTAAAACAAAACTATCTTCTGAAAAGAATTCCTACAACGGCTTACATACATTGCTTTTAAAAGTTCATGATATAGATGTATAAAAATTATAATTTATAAGCTATAGCTAAAAGGTGAACAATTTCTTTGCCAAGGATATTTTCGTCAATCTTTAAGACAGGATAACAATATCTTTAAAAGAGAAACTCTTGCCTTATTTTTTCGTGAATTTCCTTGTTATATTATCGCGGATTTGCAGAAATATTTTTCTAGGAGATCAAGAAAAACTACAGGTTGAGTTGAACACCTTGCGCCAGGAGTTTGCGTCCCATGTTCAGCAGCTTAATCTCGTTAAAGGAGAATTGGAAACGGTTAGAAGAAAGGAGACAGAAACCTTCTCTCAACTAGAAAATATTAAACAAGCAAAGGTATAGGCATTGCGTAAAAAGTATGGTTTTAAGTATGGTTATGGAATTAAGGGGTTTTGTAACCCCCCACCCCCCTCATCCAAAAAATTAGGAAGAATGAATTTAAACATGTTTTGGCAAAATAATTTGATTGTATTTTCGTTAGCCCCCCTCCCCCTCTAAAGAATAAATAAATTTTATGATTAAAAAAATATATTTTCCCCAGGCGATTGTTGAGACAGAAAACAAGAAGCTGTTGGACGCTAATCTCAGAAATTCAGGGATATCTCAGGTAACTTAGAGTACAAATCAAATGGTGGCAATAAAAAAAAACGTAGAAAACAGAGGTTTTGGTTTTTAAAATTTTGGGGCGGGTCATGTCATTTGAGTTAAATTGTTGTCATCCGATGCCCTCATTTGACGTATAGCTATTAGCTATGTAGGATTTATCTATTATTCAAAAATGTCGCTGTTAACTTTAGTAAACCAAAAAATTCAAATCGTTGTAATTAGTTAATTTATGCCATAATAAATAAATATGTTAAAAAAAACGGCTATTTTGTGTTTAAGTAGTTTCCTAGTTTACTTTAGATTTTTCTTTATGAACTTCGAATCATATATGTAATGTATATTGTATATGCCACTTGTATTTAGGAGAGTATGGTTGAGATGAATAAGTTAAAAAATGAAAACCATCGCAGATTTAAAGATATTGAAGGATATATGATCCAGGTAGGATTTTATTAAAAAAGATTTTTTTGATGATAATTTATGCTTCCTTTCTAACAGCAGACTGCAGACTTAATTTCATGNACTTAGTCACTGCGCTACCTCCAAAAGCTTTGTCTCGTTAAGAATGAAAAAGATATCCATGATTTATCTTTAAAAAATGTATTATTATTAATGTGGTCTCTCTAAAAAAGTCATTTGCGGATTTTTGTCTTAGAAACAATGCAGAACATTGCGAGAACTTGAAACTTTCTAAGCTGGAAAAACGATGATTTCTTCCCCATAAAAAATGAGTCAAAAGTTTAAAAAGTACCGTTGTAAATCGGGCACACACACCCTCCTCTCCCCTCTTAACCCTTAACGTTTTTCTAGTTTTTTTTTTGCTAAATTCCTGTGATAAGGTGAAGGAACTGGATGAAGCTAAGAAAGCTGCTGAAAAAGCTCTTGAAAATCAGAAATCTGAATCCATGCAGCTTCATAAACAGATTCAGCAGTTTCAAACAGATAGGTTAGTTTTTTATTTCAAAATTAATTTTTATCAATAAGATTTTCTTTTTTTTTATAGTTAAAACGTTATTTCTTATTTGTGGGATGATTATTGAGGAGAATATTTAATTTTCCGGGGGGGGGGGACGATCTAAAAAGGATATGTTCCATTACTAATACTTAGTTTACCTCTTAGTTTCACAAATTCTTAGATATATGGTATAATGTATTGTATAGTGTACTGTATACCCTCTGCCTTAACAAGTAATAATTACAAACGTCTTTTGCTCTCCGTTGTGTTGATCAGTCAATTTTTCATTCTAATTTGTGATTTAACTGACATTTTTGGGAAATCAACGTAACACTTTCCTGTCAATCGGTTCTAAATAATGTTATTTTCATTCACAGTTGCTTATATATTTGTTATATTCTTTTACAAAGGTAATTACTATTTGCATATTTTTAGAGATTACAATTTGTAAGTGACGAGCAATTGATACATACATGTTTTTAATGCAGATAAATATTTTCCCCAATATTATTCTTTTCTGTTCACTCTGTACTTTTTTAACTGTGTTGCATTATCTTCATTATGTAATAATGATGTTTATTATTGAATATTTAGGTTGGCTCTGATGGCTGAGAAGAATGCTCTAGTAGCGGAGAAGAAACAAACGGAGAATAGGTTGAGAAATACAGAAGCAGATCTTGGAGCAGTTAAAAACCAGAAAAATATTGCAGAACAAAGGTAACAACCCCCCCCCCCCCCTTTCTACCTTCATCTCGCATACCCTCTCAATCCCATTTCCCGCCCCCTTCATAAAAAAAATAAGCCCGGTTTTTTTAGTTTGAATGTTAAAAGGGTTTTAAATTGTAGTTCTGGAATGAATGAATGAATGAATTAATTAATGAATGAATGAAAGGACGAAAGGATGAATGAATGAATGAATGAATGAATGAATGAATGAATGAATGAATGAATGAATGAATGAATGAATGAATGAATGAATGAATAAAGCAGTAAAAGAACAAATAAATAAATTCATAAATTAATGAATGAATGAAAGGACGAAAGGATGAATGAATGAATGAATGAATGAATGAATGAATGAATGAATGAATGAATGACATGCTGAATCCTCGGCGTTGCACTTTAAAAATAAAATTTCGAATTAAAAAAATGTAAAAATAAAATTTCGAATTAAAAAAATGAATTTAGAAGAAGAAAAATACGATGACAAAAACTGAAGAAAAAATATTTTCAAAAAAATAACTATTGACGTTAATTAAACCCCCAAAGGTTTATAAAAAAAATCTTGATTTAAATTTCGCAGTACCACAGAAAATTTTCTAATTTATTTAGATTATATTTATTATACTATAGTTATCTAATGTATACAATCTATCTTATACTAAATAACGTTGTAAAGCAGAAGAATTTATTAGAGAATATAACAGGATTACTTTAGGGCGGCGGAAGTAGGAAACCTGAGAAATATAAACGCTCAGCTGGGAAAGAGAATATCAGAAATAGAGATGGAAAGAAACAGGTAGAAAAGTATTAAAATGAACTGATGAAAATAGAGAATTACATACGTGGGCCATCTTAATCGTAAAATTGTTGCCCTTGAACGAATATTTTTCCCTTGAACTATTTCTCAGCCAGCTAAAAATTATTACCAATAAATATCCCTATAAATGCCTATAAATATTACTATTTACTCTGACGTCTGGTTTACTGACTGTTTGTCGGGGGGGGGGGCAAATTACCCCCCCCCCCCCACGTCTATTTTCTTATTGTGATACAAATATATAACATTTGATACGTTTTTGGAAAGTCCTTGGGCTCTACTTCAATAATTGCAGAAAAAGCATATTTGCAAAAATCCAAATATTTTTTGCGAAGTCAATTTAAAAAGCAAAAAATGTGCGCACAAAAAAATTACGCAAATTGCAACAAGCTATACATTTTTGAAAAGTCTGTTACTGAGCGAATTCAAATATGCAAAACATTTGCAAAATTAAAACCTAAATGTGTTTTCAAGAAACGGGAAATGTGAAAATTCCCTTTAAAGGCGTCCGTGCACAACTCTGAGCAAAATTTCTTTGCAAAAATTGAGCAATCTGTTTGCTTTTCTTGTAGGCTTTTAAACTAGCTATGAAATGTAGAATTTCAATGACTGGAAGTAGGTCTAAAGATAGATGTGCTCTAGGCCCAACTGGGGGGAAGGTTACGTACCCAGGTGGAGCAGGTAGAAGGCATACAAACATTTTGGACGAGTATCCAAAATACCCTGGCGCACCTCTTTAATGCACGGACAGTTTTTAAGCATGTATTTCAGGACAGGTGTAGTCATACAGCTCTAGTCGTGAACTGAAAGAACAATATAATCAGTCCCGACTAGTATAATAATCTAAATCTATTGTTTATACTTGTAAAATAATAAAAGAATTTACAATATAAGCCATTTAAAGTTGCCCAGGATTTGCGTTTATAAATAATAAATAAAAACACTTACAAAGTTGAACTGGCCAAGGGGTTTGTAGCCGTAGTAGATCTCTATGCTTTGCGGGTTGATCGTGAAGTAGGATTACTAGCTCTGCAGTCAGATAGGTATCAGGAACAAGACTAAAAATGGTGAGTTGAGTATTGGCTCTTTTAGTGTATCTTCAGATCCTTTGCTTAAGTAACAGTTTATTCACATCGATACAGGGACTCATGTAAATCTAAATAGTACCTATTAATGATCCGCAGATTGAGCCTAGGATCAGTCTTCTCCAGTGGAGGCTGGGAGGTACATGTGAGGTAGATGAGGTACAGTTATGGTCCGCTGCTAGGAGGAGGTCGTGAAAGTGTTCATCGACCACCCAACTTGAACTAAATAGGTTAATGTTAGAACAAATTGATCATAGGTCTCAAGTATTCATCATGTTATTCACCTTTTAAATAACAGATGGCTGCACCAGTAGGCGAGGTAGGAGGAGATCCTTGAGAACATGAACCAGATGGAGCACTACAGGTTTACGATGCTCGGGCTGGAGGAGTAGATACTTTCCGTGTGGATCATCGGAAGAGTAGGTTGTGACGGTGTAGAAGAGACCCGTCAGGAGCTGCATCAGACCGTGGGTGATCCGAGCAGAGGTAGTAGCGCAGTTAATGCATAGCAACGAGGTACGGTTAATCCTAACAAAGGTTTCGTCAGAATAAGTAATGAGTTCAACTGTTAACTTAAGGCTCAAAGGTTTAAAGGCTCAAAGGTTCAAAGGTTCAAATTCACTAATGTTCACCTGGTATAAATATCTTGAGGCTGAGCCTTACGAGAGGAACGTGGAGGAGGTGATTTGTTCCCCAAGCATCGGCTTCCTGCTGAGTAGGATCAAGTCGGAACTGCTCGATGATAATTTCTCTCAGGGGTGATATCTGAATTCCCATATATAAATCATCTGTGCAACAAGGGCTTGAATTGAAGGATGGATCAAGGAAAGCAATATTAAAAACATACAGATGGTTTATAAACCTTGATTAAACGCAAAAAAAGCTGGCTAGACTTTTAACTGCTGCTTTAGGAATAAAACTTTGAGTTCGATACATAAAACATTCTCAATATTTGGTTAAATATGGGTAAATGCAGTTATATAGGAATAAATATATGCAGTTATCATAAGAATAAATATCTAAATATGAGAGCATAATCTTGAGAGTAGTCTATAGTTCACGGTTTAAATGTTTATAAGTAGAGATGAGAGCTCCATGAATTCAGCTGACTGTCTTCTCTTCTGGGGAGTTTCTGTCTGCTCGTCATGCTGCGTTTGGTTTGGAGATACCCTGAACAAAGACGACGTTTAGATCTGTGGGATCTTACAATAGATTTTGTCTGGTATAGATGGGTAAAATAAGGCATTTAGGCAGTAGGTATATAAGCTTGAGCTTCTTAGCTCAAATACTTTTCAAGTTACTGCAAAAAAACGATAGGGGGTAGAAGTCAAATTGACCCCCCACCCCCTCATTTAGGTTTAAAACTTTGTTCATCCAATTTTGCGAACAAACCCTTTAATATTCCAAATATACAGTTACAGTCAGACTCAGAGGTGTGGGTCCCTTCAGAAGATTTGAGCTACCTAGTTCAAATACTTTTAGAGTTATCGCAAAAAAACGATAGGGGGGAGGAGTCAAATTGGAACCCCCCCCCCTCCCCCCTCCCCATTTAGGTTTAAAACTTATTTATGGTTCATCCAATTTTACGAACAACCCCTTTAATATTTCAAATATTCAGTTACAGTCAGAGGTGTGGGCCCCTACAGGAGAGATTAAAATATCTCGAGCAGCAGATTCCGGTAAATATAATTTTATCCCCCCACCCCCAAAGAAAGTTTTAAATTGTATTGTATTCAGTTTTGTACCACATAACTTAGATCTAATGATTTTAAAGACGTACTAGTAGCTTTTTTTGTGTTTGGGGGGGGGGGGAAATATTGAAAAAACTTCTAAAGGCTTACTTATATATAACTGCAGGATATCTTGTGTTTAGGGTTTGACGAGTACTATTGAGAGTTTAAAGACTACCCTGGATCAGAAGATTAATGAGAATACTAATATCAGAACTCAGTATGAAGATCTAGCTAACAACTATAATCAGCTTAGAGAGAACCAGGTCGGTAATCTAACTCATTGATTGATTGATTGATTTGAATAAATTTCTCATCTTACACTAACTTGTGTACTTAATAACTAACTCAATTGCTCATTTAATGATGTACTTATTGTACTTCATGTTCATGTTCATGTTCATGTTCATGTTCATGTTCATGTTCATGTTCATGTTCATGTTCATGTTCATGTTCATGTTCATGTTCATGTTCATGAATGTGAATGTGAATGTGAATGTGAATGTGAATGTGAATGTGAATGTGCATGTTCATGTTCATGTTCATGTTCATGTTCATGTTCATGTTCATGTTCATGTTCATGTTCATGTTCATGTTCATGTTCATGTTCATGTTCATGTGAATGTGAATGTGAATGTGAATGTGAATGTGAATGTGAATGTGAATGTGAATGTGAATGTTCATTTTCATGTTCATGTTCATGTTTTGGTAATGATGTTTTTATTGTTATTATTATTATTGATAATGTTAATGTTATTGTTGTCATTGTCACTGTCATTGTCATTGTCATTGTCATTGTCATTGTCATTGATATTTAATATAATCACTAATCAGGTAATCGCCAACAATCATCTGCTTGAGATTGAAACTCTGAAATCTAATGTGCAAACCCTTCAGCACTCTGTACTACAGGAGGAGGAAACATCTAACCAACTGAGGTCGGGCTTTTCTTACAAGTTTGTTTAGTACAGTGTTCGACGTTTAAATCAATACAACTAAGACAATTTTTCAATTTTAGTTCTGTTTTCTCAACTAACTTTTTTCAAATAGCAAGATTACAAGTAATCTAAGAGCAGTTGTAAGATTGACCGCTTCTCTTTATTTCCATGTTTATGTGTATCCATGCTGTTAGAAAGCTTGGTAAACGTCTAATGTCGTTCTCATTGTATAGATAAATACGTCAACGACTGTATAAGCAGGTGTAACATATTTTATTGAAACATTTTTTATTTTTAAGAACAATATTACTTTAGTAAGAGTGAAGAATTTAGTCAAATGATTTCAATCAAACCAACTAAATGACAAGTGATGTCATTGCAGTGCTAAAAAAAAATGAATTAACATACTTATGAGTGTAACACTTCGAGAGCACTTTTCAGCGAAATAAACCCGTTTTGAATTGAATGGGTTTGCAGGCTTAATGTTTAGTGATCTTACATTTCCACCGCCCATTTTTTTATTCTCTAAATATTAGGCATCTTTTTCGGATCAAGCATTGTTTTGAGTTTAACAATTCTCAACTAGCTGTATTTGTCTATGTCATCGAAAAGGAATCTAAATTTTTATGATTGTTATATCTAGATCTAAGCTTGCAGCTGCTCAGAGCGCTCTAGCCGCAGCGACAGCAGTGTCTGCTGCACCACCTCCTGTTTCCCCGGAGAAGGTTCGTTCTTGATTTTTTATCATCTTAACAGACCTACCCTTTTTCCACAGTTAAAGGGACTGTTAAAGTGACCCTCAGTGCAAATTGTAGGCACTACAAAAGTAACTACAAAAAATCACACTTCCACATTATCAATCAGATAAAGGTTTTTAAGTCTCTAGGGTGCCGTTGTTTATCGGGCATTGTCATCTTAGCATTGAGGGTCACTTGAAATTACGCGTAATAAAGTTTATTTATGTCATTGTAATGGGTAGTATTAAGTGCAAAAAAGTTTTTTTCGGCATTTTTATTTTTTCTGGTTTGTTTAAGATCAAAATGAAAGTATTTTCACACCGAACGTAGTGAGGCGTGAAAATCCTTTTTTTTGATCGAAAACAAACTAGAAAAATAAAAAATCACAGCAAAAGCTTTTTCGCACGTATGATACCCATTTCAATAACATATATAGTTTTATTCAGTTTTACTCAAATTATTTAGAAGCAGGTCGATAAAGTTACTTAATCACCCTGTTGTAGGGTAATTAAGTAACTTTATCACCCTACAATGAGACAAATTAGGTATGAAATTTGAAATTTTAATAGCAGGATGAAAAAGTTACTTTTTCGCCCTGTTGTAAGACGATAAAGTCACTCACCCTACAACGTGAAATATTAGGTGTGATAAATTCCATCAAAATTGAATTAAGTTATTTAAGTTGCGGGTCACAGTACTTAGAATTTCTGATAGATTTTATCCTTGATCACGATGTAGACTCCACTATAAAACCCTGTATTCCTGTAGGTAAAGGAGGTGGAGGTGCTTACCAGGAAGGTGTCCGCGTTGAATAAGACCCTGACAAGCAAGGATACTGAGATTATTGAACTAGAACAGAAACTGGAGGAGGCTAATAGACTGGTAAAATTTCAATCAATTAAGCAAACTTTAATTTTCCTTATTCGATAATGAAGTTTAATTATGAAATTAGAAGTAATATTTGGAAATGAACTGGCCAAACAGATTTCCGTTTTTCAATTTAGATTTTAGCATGTTTTACGTCTTACTTGTTAAGTGATGTCACTGCACTACAAAAAAAGATGAAAACTCTTATGATTTAACTCTTTGAATTATATTTTTATTTAATACTTTGAAAGCACTTTAACTGAAATCAGGTTCTGTGTCCATATAATTCCAGTTCTGATCCCATATGGGATCGGATTTGAAAGTACATTTAGGGGCATGAAAATACACTTTCTGTGTCCTTGTGAACTTTGGCAAGGTTTTTGTGTATGTGTACTGCACTTCAGAAATGTTTACTGCATTAGGGGTGTTAATTGATGTAAATATCAGTAATAAATATAAAAGATGAATTATAATAAACAAAAAAATGAAAACTCTGCTGTATGGAATTTTTTTACCACTTTACACTATACTTTTTAATTGTTTACAACAACAACATGGTAAATTTCCGTCCCTAATATCAATCAACATTTGGGATCGTTTTTGATGAAATTATATGGACCCTTGGTCTGTTATCGTAACGTTAGGTAATCTTAAATGCCAATTCACATTGGTAAACCTTGTCAGAGTTAAAATTATTGTGAATCGGACATTCCAGTCTGTTAATGGAGGGGGAACTTGAAACTACGTCTCCAGTCTGTTAATGAAGGGGGACTTGAAACTACGTCTCCAGTCTGTTAATGGAGGGGGACTTGAAACTACGTCTCCAGTCTGTTAATGGAGGGGGACTTGAAACTACGTCTCCAGTCTGTTAATGGAGGGGGACTTGAAACTACGTCTCCAGTCCCTTTCAGTCAATTTATTTAACTTATTTGCATTTGTTTAAGGTTAAAGAAAATACGGAAGAAAGGGAGATGGAGAAGAAATCATCTAAGAAGGATTCAAGCAAGGTGAAATAAGTTTAGATGAAGGGAGTTAACATTAAATGAAATAAAAATACCATGAACATTAATTAGGGTGACCCAAATCACCCTTAAAAAAAATAGCACACAGGCTCAAGTGGTTCCAGACACAAGTGTTCCAAAAAATATTTAGATGTCTAGGAAGCCATTAACAGCTACATGTAAAATTTGAATCATTGCTGAATAAATATCCTTTGTTATACTGTTAAAGTGCAATCGCCAAAAAAAAACCAGTTTTCAACTTAGACCTCTGAGCGTTGGACTGCTACCTGAGCAATGAACCATTTACCTAATTCACATTACCTATGAACTATCTACCTAATTGACCTCTAAGAAATGAACTTTCTACCTGGTTGACCCCTATCTATGAACATTATATCTGATTGACCCTCTAGCTACAAACTGCTTCCTGATTGACCCCATAGATATGAACTGCTTCCTGATTGACCCCCTAAAAATTAACTAATTTCTGTTTAACCTCCTAGCTATGAAGTATATACCAGATTAACAACCAGCTATTATCTTTCCACCTGATTGTCCCCATAGCTATGAAATGCTATCTAATTGACTGCCCATTTATGAACTGCTACCTGATTGACACCCTAGCTCTAAACTATGCCTGATTGACCCCCTAGACATAAATTGGTTCCTGTTTGACCCCCTAGCTATAAACTTCTACCTGATTGACCTCCAAGTTATAAGTTGTATACTTCATTGACCCACAAGCTCAGATCTATCTACCTGATTGACCCTTGGCTCTGAACTGCTACCTTTATGACCCCCTAACTATAAATGATTACCTGTTAACCTCATAGCAAAAAACTTTCGACCTGATTGACCACTTAAAACTATGAACTACCTGATTGACCCCTTAGCTATGAACTGTCTACCTGATTGACCACTAAGCAATGAACTACTTCCTGTTTGACCTTTTAGCTATGATCTCCTTGATTTACCTCCTAGCTATGAACAGCTTTGTTGAAATATCTCATCAGAACCAACCCCTGTGTTGGTGGTTTGTTAGCATAATCAACTATTTTGGTTTTTAATTGAATTTTTAAATCATCTGTAGCAGTAACGTTAAATTTTTACATGAGCTGATCCCCAATAAGATAAAGATCCAATTTTTTGGGAGGGTGCTCTACATATCCCCTGTAATCATTTAATCATTTGAAACTGTGTGCATGTTCAAAATCAGAAAAAAGGTAACCAGAATGAATATGACGTAAAAGAACGTGAAACGACATAAAAGCGTAAAAACAAATAAAATTACATAAAAAGACATGAAAATGACATAAAAATTACAAGAAAATTACATGAAAATTACGTGAAAATTACATGAAAATTACATGAAAATTACATGAAAATTACATGAAAATTACATGAAAATTACATGAAAATGACAAGAAAACGATTTGAAAATAACATGAAATAAGAATGTCAAAAGCATTGCAAGAAAATGACAAAAAAAAATGGCAAGAAGCTAGTAAAAATAGACATGAAAAAATTATCTAGGAGGTTGAGGGTTTGAAGAAGAAGATAGAGGTGCTGAATAGGAACCTGGATGAGAAGAAAGGAGAAGCTTATGCATGCAAACAGCAAATGCAGGTCACCCAAATCTATTTAAAAAAAAAGACGCATAAAATGAGAGTCTCTAATTTTGATAAATTTTGAAATTTCGGAGAGCAATTGATGCCATATAAAAACTGCACGTCTTAGCTCACAGCTCGAGATCAAAGGGCTTAGTTTCAACTACAGATATCACTGAACTGCCCTGAAAATAAGTAATAGATCTCTGTTTTGGCCTGTCGACTTAAACCGTTTTTTGACAATTAAAAAACTTGCATTAGATTATTTTACGGATTTAAACCTTAAACCAAGAATTGTAGTATTTCGTTACCAATTTTTTTAACCCTAAATTTTTTTTTTATTTTCTGCCATGAGTGTTCGCGAAAAATGAAAGGGGGTATAGGCTTAATGCGATAAAAAAGCGCTTTTGATCGCTACTAATCTTACTTCTATCTGTTGCGTCTATAAGGAGAAACTTGTTAAAGATGTCTCATACCGAATAACTTAGCGCGCATACAAATTGAAAAAATTGCAACATACGACTTAGACCGTAAAAAAAATCAATTTAATTTCAAACAAATTATTCAGATATTACAACCTATAGTCATCGATTATCTTTCGCCACATTTGTATATAGTTTATATTTTATAATACTTTTAATTATTTTGTTTTGAATTTGATTATTTCTCTTGCGACTTGCGCAACTATCTAAGAATGCCGCGAACCACTCACAATTTTCGAAATCAGTTAAAACGTTTTCTAAAAAATAAAATATTATAAAATATAAACTATATACAAATGTGGCGAAAGATAATCGATGACTATAGGTTGTTCTATCTGAATGATTTGTTTGAAATTAAATTTTTTACGGTCTAAGTCGTATGTTGCAATTTTCTGAATTTGTATGGACCTAAGTTATTCGGTATGAGACGTCATTAAAAGTTTCTCCTTATAGACGCAACAGATAGAAGTAAGATTAGTAGCGATCAAAAGCGCTTTTTTATCGCATTAAGCCTATACCCGCTTTCATTTTTCGCGAACACTCCCTTTAAATGTAGTTTTGAGGAATCTTTTGAATGTAAAAACACATGAAATGAATAAAAACCGTAACACAATGTTACCAAACGGCAAACACCAGGCCTAATCGGAGGGTAGATATACCGCACCTCAATTGATTGACTGCTGTTAGAGAATACATGAATTAAATGCTCTATGTAGAATCTAAATATTTCAAGTCATATGTTGCATTTTTTTTTGCAATGCAGCCTCAAACAGCATCCAATGCTCTTGGGTTATTCCTTTCAACATTACATGTGCCTGCCACATGTCGTCCCCCGATTGTGGTTGTAAGAATTATCTATCTTATCAGATAAGAATTTAACGCGAGACATCTGGCGGGCAAACTATCGGCCCCCAAAGAACGTCAACAATACCGCCACTGTTTATACATTGTTAGGGAAAGATCGGGCCTTGAATTGTGAGTGCTCGAGTTGTACGATATAATCTTCCTATGTTCAGGAGTATCAGGATCATAACAAGGAGTTACAGAAGGAGATTAACAAGCTGCAGACCAGAAACAAGGATGCAAGGTTAATACAATAAAATCTTATTCTTAACTGTACTGAATTGTAATTTAGACTAAAATTCTGTACTGTACTGTACAGTACAGTAAACTTCAGTACTGTACTGTACTTTACTGTACTGTACTTTGTTCTTTTCTGTACTGTACTGTACTCTACTGTACTCTACTGTACTCTACTGTACTCTACTGTACTGTACTGTACTGTACTGTACTGTACTGTACTGTACTGTACTGTTCTGTTCTGTTCTGTTCTGTTCTGTTCTGTACTCTACTGTACTCTACTGTACTCTACTGTACTGTACTGTACTGTACTGTTCTGTTCTGTTCTGTTCTGTTCTGTTCTGTTCTGTTCTGTTCTGTTCTGTTCTGTTCTGTTCTGTTCTGTTCTGTTCTGTTCTGTTCTGTTCTGTAGTGTAATGTACTGTTCTGTACTGTACTGTACATTACAGTAAAATTCAGTACTGTACTGTACACTGTACTTTAATGTACTTTGTACTTTACTGTACTTCACTGTGCTGTACTGTACTTTACTGTACTGTACTGTACTGTTCTGTACTGTACTGTACTGTACTGTACTGTACTGTACTGTACTGTAATGTAATGTAATGTAATGTACTGTTCTGTACTGTACTGTACTGTACTGTACTGTACAGTAAAATTCAGTACTATGCTGTACTTTACTGTACTGTACTGAACTGTACTTTGTACTTTACTGTACTTCACTGTGCTGTGCTGTACTGTACTGCACTGCACTGCACTGCACTGCACTGCACTGCACTGCACTGCACTGCACTGTGTTATACACTTACTGTGATTTGGATGGATACATCTTTGATCTTGAAATCAAATAATATGTTTTTCTGCTTAAAGCTCTTCTGTGATCCTTAAGATTTAAATCAAATCAAATCATAAACTTGTCTGCCGTAATCATTATGCATTATAACAAATAAAAAAAATAATACAAAAAATAAAAATAAAATTAAAATTATTGCAGTAGGGGAGCTCCGATAGCTTAAAGCTGTTTTAACAGATTCCCCTATTATCCTCTTGAAATTATATTCTTAATATGAAAACAAATTAGACACACAAAAATTCACATAATTACATATATATATATTAATAATGCGGTTTATTAATTTAGAAAATTAAAGATTATAAAAATTAGAAATAATAAAAAAAGTGTAAAAATTAGATGACATCAATCACATTTCAATAGATACTATTTATATTGAATATGAATATATTTATATCTCTTAAAAAGTATAACTCATAAAAAATATTTCCATAAATAAAGTCTTGTGTAAAGAATTATCTAAAAAGTCAGGAATTCTATCTACTCAAAAAACATGCTCATAGAAATATAAATAAAAATTCAAATGATTTTTCTTAGGTTAGAAATGGCATTAATATTATAAATATTCTTGCTTCACTTTTCAAGATAAGAAATTTGGGAATATTTAGGCCTTGAACAAGCATTAAAATGTTCTAAATTGGTTCCCTTTTAAAGATAGCTGATAATAGAAATGGTTGACTACAAAAGAATAACATATTTACTCCCAAATATTACATTGGCACTCTTTTTAGAAATTCTTTTCCCCCAGGAATGATAGAAGAGATAGTAAGGATGGAAAGCAGCTAACTAAAAAGCAGCTGCCAGGAAACGAAGAAGCTGGTCTCTCTAAGAAGCAGGAGAAGAAGTATGAGGATAAAATCAAGGAGCTGCAACACAAATTAAAATCTTTAGCCTCATCCCCTCCACCTAGCAAAGTGAAGTGAGTGGGTCTCCTTATGTTTATAAAATATATATCAGTTTATTAAAGGGGATAGTGGAGTTGTCCTAATGAGAAGATGGAGGTCCCTGCCTTCATTTTTGGTTTAAATCTTCCATTTTTTTGGCTGCACGCCTAATTAGGGAGCTATTTACCAAAAATTAGATTAAATTGACACTTATGACCTCTAATGACCTCTAATGTCCTTTAATGACCTCAACAAATAGAAAATGTTTTAATTATGGCAATACAGTAGCAGCAACAAATAGCTTACTATAGCTTTTGTTTGATATGCATAAAGTCATAGTTTAAACATATTCATTTTGTTGGTCATAGGAGGTCATTTGAGGTCATTAGAATGTCAAACACTGGATTCTTTGCTGATTCTGTATTGCTCGAGTTACCAGCTTTCGTTTAATATGCAAAAAGTCATAATTAAAACATTTTCAATTTTGGGATCATTACAAGTTGTCATAGGTTGTTAAAGGGTATTAGAAGGTCAAACACTGGATTCGTTGCTGCCACTGAATTGCCTGGGTTCCTAGCTTTCGTTGATATGCATTAAGCCATAGTTAAAACATTTGCAATTTTGAAAGAGGTCATAAGAAGGTCCAACACTGAATTTTTTGCTGCTACCTTATTGCTTGGGTTCCTAAATTTTGTTTGATACGCATTAAAGCCATAGGTAAAACGTTTTCAATTTTGAGGTCAAACACTGGATTTGTTGCTGCTACTGAATTGCCTTCATAACTTCTGTTTGATATTTTTTTTTGAAATAAAACTCCCTGATTAGGCGTGCAGACAAAAAGTTGAAAGATTTGGACCAAAAATGAAGGCTCCATTCTCCACCATCCCCTTTCACAACATTTTTACTCGGACTAAAGATTACCCAAAACGATTTTTTAAACAAAAAAAAAAGCAACAATTGGGAATACATGATGTGATGTGATGTGATGTGATGTGATGTGATGTGATGTGATGTGAACAAAGTAAATTATAAAAGCTAAATGAGGAGGAATACAAAATTTCTATAATTGGGTTTATTTATTGTTTATTGTTGATTAAACCTCAGGAACTCGTATAGAGTTATTATGAGGATGATTTCGTTGACTTAAGAGTTGCTGATTGTTCTTTCTGGTTTATTTTTTTCTTAGTTTTGCATGTATCTTGCAGCAGCTTATGGATTCTTTCTATAATCATATCTTCTTTTGAAGATGCTCACTGTAGAAGTTTCTTTGATGACTGATGGAATCGAGTTCCATTTTCTGGGTACCCAAACACTGAAATTACTTCTTATATTTGTTCTGGAGATCTGGATTTCAAGATTTGAAGGGTCTGTTGCATTTCTAGTAACTCGACTGTGATTGATCCTGCTAAATCAAGTTGATGGATTTACATCACTGAAACCTTGAAGTATTTTGAATGTTTGAATCATGTCAGCAAGTTCTCTTCTTTCCTTTAGCGAAAGCAGGTTTAACTCTTTCAATTTTTCTTCATAAGATTCACTATGGAGACCAGAAATCATACGAATAGCACGCTTCTGAACTTGTTCCAAGGTATTTAAATCAGCTTCAGTCCATGGCGACCAGGCAGAGGTGCAGAACTCCAGGTGAGGGCGAACATAGATTTTGTATAGGTTAACAAAAACATGTCTGTCTCTGTAATGAAATGCTCTAGAAATAGATCCAAGGATAAAGTTTGCTTTTCTGACAGCCTCTGAGCACTGGCTGGTAGGTTTTAATGACTTATTTACGAGGACCCTGAGGTCCTTCTCTTCTTCAGATTCACTAAGCTGAGTCCCATTCATAAAGAAATATGTCTGGGATTGTTTTTGCCAACGTGAAGAATTTTACATTTTGAAACATTAAACTTCATATCCCAGGTGTCTGCCCATGAACAGAGGGCATCAGGAGAGCTTTGGAGTTTCTTTTTATCTTCTTCTGAGCACATGACCTGACCTAACTTGGTGTCGTCTGCAAACTTGTTGAGGATAGATATGTCACCTGCTGCAATGTCAATGTCGTCAATGAAAATTATAAACAAAAGAGGACCCAGTACACTTCCTTGGGGTACCCCAGAGAAAACCTGGATCCACTCTGAAAATTCTCCATTCAATACAACTCTTTGTTTTCTATCACTGATCCATTTGTTAATCCAGTGCAATATTTGACCTTGAATTCCAAAGGATTTTAATTTGTCTATAAGTTTTAAATGAGGAACTTTGTCAAAGGCCTTTGCAAAGTCTAAATAAACAATGTCCAAGGCATTTCCTGAATCATATTCTTTTGTCACTCTCTCCATAAACTCTAGCAGGTTTGTCAGACAAGACTTATTTTTAGTAAATCCATGCTGGGAGGATTTATAATTATATTATCATACAGATGCTCAGTAACCCTGTCTTTGATGATTGATTCTAGGATTTTACAAGGAATAGATGTCAAAGACACCGGTCTATAATTACCAGGACTTGATTTTGATCCTTTTTTAAAAATCGGAGTAATGTTACCACATCTCCAATCTGGCGGGACCGTACCAGTTTCAATTGATTTGTTAAAGATCAGTGCAAAGAGGTTCGGAGATCAGTGTGCTAAAAGTTTGAAGAAATCTTGCTGAAATATTGTCTGGTCCTGCTGCAGAGTTAGGCTTCAAATTTTTAATCTTCTTAACAATATCGTTTGGGGTAATGTTTATATGTGTCACTGGTTCACCAAAGATTCTCTGATTTAAGGCATACTGGCTTTTGTTGGGAGTATTGTTTGTAAAAACACTACCAAAATAGCTGTTCAAAATGTCTGCCATTGATTTATTGTCCCTGACAAGATGCCCATCCTGGCTTAAAGGTCCCACTCAAGACCTTGATTTAGTTTTAGCTTGGACATACGAGTTAAATAATTTTTTCTTTAATCTTTTGACGAAAACTTCTTTTCATATCTTCGTTTAGCTTGCGAAACTAATTTTTGTCTTTTTTCATGTTCTTTAAACTTCATCAGTTTCCTTGTCTCGCAATTCATCCTCCCAGTTCACTGAAGATAAGTAGGATGAAAAAGATTCAGCATCACATTTATTCCAGTCTGGGATATATTCTTTGGTTTGGTTGAACAGGACATTTTGCATGACATCTATGGATAAAATAGAATGATCACTGTTACCCAGGTTCCCAATAGGTTCAATGTTTATTATTCGCTCAAGGATGTCTGTAAGAACAAGGTCTAAAACATTACCACGAATGTGGGTTGGAAAGTCAACCATCTGCTGTAAAAACTTATCATTCAATGAATCAAGAAATGGTCTGCATTTATTTTCATCGGAGTTATTTTCCCAGTCGATTGTAGGGAAGTTGAAGTCTCCAATGATCAAGTTGTTTTTATCAAGAGATTTTATAAGGTCACAAAGTTCTGAATTGTTTGCATTTGGTAAGTTGGGTGATCTGTACACAAGGGTAACATTTAAGTCTTGGTTGTTCTCAGATATCACTCTGAACTGGCAGAATTGGTTAAATAAATTTAAACTATCAGTTTTTAAAATTGTGAGTCCATTTTTCACATACACAAGCAATCCACCACCTATACCATTGGTGGTGTCGTTACGATTTCAATAAAATATCCTTCCAGCTGAAGGGTGAATACTAATAGTGAAAAGAAACGATTCCTAGTACCCAAAATAAAGCTCGTTTGATTATAATAATCACAGAGTGGTAGTTTAAAGACTTATAAATAATATTTATTGATTGTTTTTAAAAACTTTTAATAATGTAATGCATAAGCAGTAGTAGAGAAGCCGAGCTGAGCAGTCTATTTCCAAGGGCACACAGATCTCAAGTTTATTCTAGAAAAGTAACGCAGGCAGGAGGCTAATGGCAGGCCTTTAGAAGCTCGATATGAATATTTATTTGGTACAAAGAAAAAATCTGATAAATCTTAAGACTGAAACCTCTGTTTGTGGATGTTTATATGAACAGGAAAATCCAGAGAAAATAATTCTTGTGAATGGCATATTCTCCTGTCTATTTAGGGAACTTAGGGGATTTGCTGAGAAAGTGACTGTTTTTGTAGCATTTAGTAAAGCTTATTCACTGGATCAATTGAAACACTCTAGATATCTGGTCAATGAAGCTTTCAACTTGGTAGAGAAAGAGTAAAAAGTCAAAATTATCTCTTCTGATATGCGGGAGAAAACAAACCTGATTGACAAAAAGGGGATAGGAAACATAGTGGTTACTTTATCATATAACTTCCTTATACCCAAGTTATCGACAGAAAATGTTTCTAGTGCTGATGTGCTTCTTAACACATCAAGTACTATGATGTGAGAGAGAATGTCAGCTCTTTAAAAGAAGATGGTTATAATGGAAACCTTCTGGGATAAGGTAAATGTTAATGTGGCACCTACATCTACTGCAGGTGCAAAGTCCTAGAGTTCTGTTACCCAAGGAAACTTCAATAAATCTTACCAATCTCCAGGGACAAGGAATTTTTAGGGATAGATCTTCTAATTTAACATTTGGATTAACTGATGGAAGTCACTCCCTTAAACAAAAGAAGGAATGTTGGATAGCCAGCAGTTGTAGGCGCTAGTCACCTCCAGCTTATATATTCCTTTCTGGAATTCCTAACGGAACGACTAAAGAATATATTGTTGATGACTTGGATGAGGCTGATATTAAGATCACAGCTAATGATAAAAATTTAATGTCCAGACCACGTGAGACATTGAATACAGTAAGCTACGGGGTTAGTTTAGCCGCTGAAGATTTACAGAAATCCCTTTTGCAAGCAGTTTGGCCTTTAAGAGTACATGTTCGAGAATTTATCCTTTATCGAAAGGGATATTCTGAGAGGAATGCATTTTGTACCTTGATTCCTATGAGCATGTATTTTTATTAGAGAGAATTTCTGATTTTTTAGATAATTCTTTACATAAGACTGTATTTATGGAAATATGTGTGTTACTCAATAGCTGACTCAATATAACAATAAACTGGGGAATGGGATTTGAAATTTTTTTATGAGTTATACTTTTTGATTTGATTTGGTTTGATTTCATAATGATATAGTAATAGCAGTGCTTTGGATCCATTTAAGTTTGATGCGGATCCAGATCCGCACTGGAAAAAAATGGATCCGGATCCGGATCCAGGTCATTTCTTTAAGATTTACTGAATTTTTTTTAACAAAATATAGCTTTCAAATTTTTTGTTTTATTTTTTTGTATATTTTAATTTAAAGTTGGTAAAAAAATGGATTGTTACGGACATAACTATTGAGAACTATTTTAGTGGGACTGGTGCTTTAGAGCTAGAGCTAGAGAAGATGAAGAAGATAATTGAAAAACAAGAAGCCGACCTCAACGACGAAAGAGTGAGTTTAAATAAAATACTATTAGAAAAGATAAAAAAATGGAAGTTTTTAAAATTAGATATTCTTTGTGGCCCTTACTTCCGAGTGATTTTCAATGTTTAAGACTTGTTATTTTTATTTGATCTAAACCATTAAACTTGAACTAACCTGCCTAATTCTTTATTGACAGTGATTTGACTTGATAAACCTTGATTGACCTCGATTAACCTTAATTGACCTTGATAACCCTAGAATGCCCGTAAAAAACATAGAATGACCTTGAATTGCATTGACTGACCTGTTTTTAGGCAAAAGTGTTGGCTTTGGCTGGATTGAGTAATGATCAAGAATACTCACTTGCTGGTAAGAAAAAACATACCTGAAGAAGCCTTGTTTAAATTTAAATTTATTTTTTCACTAAATTATTCTTAAAATGCATGTTTTTTTCTTATTCTTATAATGTATGGACTATGGACCAAAGGGGAGGGAGTGGGTGCTTACACATTTTCACATTTTAGCCATGTGTTTGCAGGTCGGCGGAGGAATGCAAGATCTGTTGGTGGATATTTAGCTCTAGCTGGATACAATCCTACTCCAGCTAAACGGGCAAAAAAGGATACAAAGGAAGAGGAGGAGAAGAAGGAGGAGCAGAACCAGATGAATGGAGAGGATTCTGAGACTAAGGTGAGAATTATTAGAAATCACAAAATTCCTAGCAGATGCTACAACTTTTAATTTTAACTCAATTTTATCTAGTATTTCTTTTTATTAATAATTTCTTCATTTCAGTCCACTCCTACTACAAAAGTAAAGAAAACTCCCGTTTTAAAGAAAACTCCTATAATTAAGAAAACGCCGGCTGCAAAGAACCCTAAACCCCAGAAACCCAACCCTGCTCCAAAATCTGAGACAGAAGATACAACACTTGACGAAGAAATCTTCGAAGAAGTAATCACCCCAGTTAAAAAAGGACGCAAGTCTCCCATCAAATCAAAATCCGCAAAGAAACCATCAGAAATACCACCTGTGGCATTGGATATTCAGAAAACAAGCAAACGCTCCAGACCTATTCAAAATCTGAATGAAGACGATGACGATATTCTTGCGCTTTTTGACGAGGAGGAAGAGGAGCTTGAACCCCCGAGAAAGAAAGGAAAAACCGAAACTCCCGCGATTAAAAAATCCGCCAAGAAGACCCCAGGAATCAAGAAGACACCGGTGCAGAGAAAGCAGAAAGGAGAAGATGTCGCGCCTGAGCCAACCCATACTTCTAAACGTGGACGGGGAGCTGGAACACCCACCCCTGAGGAACGGTTCTACGCTGAAGCATTTGCCACGCCAGTGCGCGGTAAGGGCCGTACCATAACTCCCGCCAAAAAGCTGGCAAATATTCCTGTTAATGCCGAATTAGCACCTATTGTTGCTCCTAAGTCGGGAAAGAAAGGAATACCTGAAAAGACAGAAATCCCCCAAGCTCCCGAAACTCCTAAACCTGCAAAATCCGCCAAGAAAGGGAAAGTGGCCTTGAAACCATCTGAAATGTTTAATGAACCAGACTCTTCTGTCCCCAAGTCTACCAAGAAAGGGAAGGGTAAAGTGAAAGTTCCTGAAGCTGAGATTGAACCCCCAACTGTTGATGCAACACCTAAGCAAAGTAAGAAGGGAGGAAAAAACAAAACAAGAAGCCCTGAACCTGAAATAGAATCCCCCCCGGCACCCACTCCTAAATCCGCTATGAAAGGAAGAAGTAAAACTTCATTATCTGGAATTAAAAATAAAACAGTAAACCCTGAACCTGAAATAGAATCCCCTCCAGCACCCACTCCTAAATCCGCTATGAAAGGAAGAAGTAAAACTTCATTATCGGGAATTAAAAATAAAACTGTAAACCCTGAACCTGAAATAGAATTCCCCCCAGCACCCACTCCTAAATCAGCTATGAAAGGAAGAAGTAAAACTTCATTATCTGGAATTAAAAATAAAACAGTAAACCCTGAACCTGAAATAGAATCCCCCCCGGCACCCACTCCTAAATCCGCAAAGAAAGGAAGAAGTAAAACTTCATTATCTGTAATGAAAAAAGAACTGAAGAAAGGTAAAGGCTCTAAAGCAGTCCCAGAACCTGAGCTTAAACCTGCGCCCACCCCTAGAAAGGGTGAAAGTGTGCTCCCTGAGATTGAACTCGAACTTGAGGGGCAACCTACTCCCAAGAAAGGAAGACCTGTTAAGAAGGGGAATAGCGGATTAGTTGCTGAAGAACTTTCTTCTGAACCTACCCTTCCCCCACCCAAGAAAGAGAAGGGAGCCACTGCTGTTGAAGAACCTTCACCTGAACTATCCCCTCCCCCTAATAAGGTAAAAGGTGGAAATAGGAAATCTCAAGCTACTAAACCTGCAGGAAAAAAGAAACCTCTGACGAAACCTGTCTCAAAGAAATCTGTCGCTCCATCTAAAAGGAAGGCTTTACAGCGTAGATGAAAAAAATATGTATACATGACACGTTTATTCGTTAAAAGTTGAAAATACGCTAAGATTGAATGCAAAATGGTCCCTGTTGTGATAGAAGCCATTTTATTTTTTTGAAAATCTGTAAATACTTTATCTCCGTTTAAGCTGGACACTGTCTTGCTAAAAGATATTATTTTTATATTTTTGTTTGGATTCTGTTTAGAAAATTCTGTACGCTAAGCAGGTGCCCTAGAACTGTCAAATTAAGTGTGGAGTTATGATGCAAAGAATGTTCCAGGGCCCTTGCTTCTAGCCTCTTGTACCTGTTGGTAAAAATTATAGTTTTAGAAATACATGCAAACCTCAACATTTAGTTATTAATATTAAATTCAGCATTTTTCTTTTATTAAAGCCTGCAACGTTTGTTCTGAAAAACGGAAAACTACACTATTTTCCCATTATTGATTAGATTAAGGTTTCACAGTCCCGATTTAAATTAAGGAGTAATGAAGACGCATTGACAAATATTTCGACTCAGAATTTCGTCTGGAAATATTAGTAGTTTACATATTCCTCCCATCCTACATCCTTAACATCATCTCTGGATTGTACAATCCCAGATTTTTTTGTTTTTCGAGCATCTGTTAAAGCACACACTTTGGATTATTTTATGCACTCTTGAATAGCTTTAAGGTTTCTAAACTCCAGGATATCTTGACATCTTGGGAGTTTCTCGTAGAACTAATCCTTGTTAAGATCTGATGTTGGATTAGGAGAAATGTTTCTTAGGTCCTACAGCACTTCCGTCCTACGGTACTTCGGACCTACGACAGATGTAGGCCGGATGTACATTCTATTTTGTAAGCCGACCTACGCAGGTTTGTCGTTATGCAGTTGACAGTGCTACCATGAGGATCTTGCTGTTCCTGTTGCACAAAAATTTGTAGGTCGGATGCACAACTTTTATAGGTCGGATAAACACATTATGTAGGTCGGATGTTAGGTTTGGTTAAGTCTGGGCCGAGCGTTGCTGCCTTATCAAATTGACAAAATTATGAGGTTAGGTTTGGTTATAAGACAATTTATCGGCCGAGAGCTGCAGCCACACACTTATCAAATTGACCAAGTGATAACGGATCTGTGGGGTTAGGTTAGATTGTGACAGTTTCTGGGTTAAGCGCCGCAGCTATGACAGGCAAGGTGGCCGAGCGCTGCGGCCACAGTTATTAAATTGATAAAGTACTAGCCGATATTTGGGGTTAGGTTAAGACAATTTTTAGGGCCAAGCGCTGCTACTCCTTAACAACTGTGAATCAGACCAAAAAAATATGTGCATCTCAACGTTTGCAACAGACCTACATAAGTTGTGCATCCGCCCGGCTGAGGTTGTTCATCGGATGAATAGCAGCTAGAAGCTGCTGAAAAACCATGTGCCGGTAGGTCCGAAGTATCGTAGGACGGATGTAATACAATCGGTTATAGGTCTTGGAATTTGTTAACCAATTCAGCTCTGGGTATAGATTAGCTCCAGGTTCAGGGTTTACTCCAAGCAAGTACAGGTTCAGTGTTACACCAAGTATAGGTCCAGGTTCTACTCCGTAGAAGGTCTATTATCAGATAAATCAGGGTTGGAATACCTCAGGTTCAGCTCCAGGTAGGTGTAACACTAGGCTCTGGTCTGGTTCTATGTTGACTTTCAGGACAGGTTCTCAAGTAAGTTAACTTTTAAATTTTTACTTTTGAGAAACCATTGAATATGTATCCTACCTTCAATATGGAAACCTAAATTATCCAAGTTAAATTTTTGAATATCCAAGTTATTAACTTCCCAAAAAGAAACAACCCAAGCACATCAGTTTTAAGAAAACCAAATAATAAATATAACGTAACTCCACCAAATTCAAATGTTAGCTGGAAATTTAATAAAATGGCAGGAACAAGCTATTTTCGCACAGCAAGAACACATTGTACTGATAAAAGAACTGCAAAACCAATTAAAAATAATTCGTTGTATGGAACTTAAAGGGTTCTCAAAAAATCAAATTAAACGTATGGAGCTACACAAGAAAAAGGATAAACCCCAACAAAGTAAAAAATTCATATCATCAATTAAATACAATAAATGCTCGAATAGCTATGTTCATGTTAAAAAATTTGTGAAAAATATTCCTGTAAAATTGGAAAAATACTACATGCCAAACTGGAACAGTTTGTTTTTACCATAAAGAAAATGCGGGAAAAATTCAAATTTTAAACATTAAGGTACAATAGGATCTTAACTTTTAACCCTAATTTTAACGTTTAAAAATAGAGCCTTTAACAAGCAAATATTTAATTTCACAGTGATTTGGGGGTAGCATATTCTAACAAAATTTAAACTGGATCCTGTGGGTCCAGTGCTCAAGGGAGCACTGGACCCACGAATTGATCCTGCTAGAAACATGAACTAGCGTTTTTTAGGGAAAATTTTTTTCCAATTGACATAAAATTTGAATTTAACTAGAACTTAAAATTTTTTCAGGCAAACCGTTGAATGTTCTTCTACCTTATCACTGGGCTACAAAATTTATATCATTGGAATTTGTAAAAAAAAAATTAATAGTTTTTCCTGATAACAACTTTCTCTTAATTTTAATATTAACGTTTCATGGCTAATTTAATCCTATTTGTATACTCGGTATTTAACCACCAAAACTTAAGGATGATCATTTTTAGGTGATTTTTTAAAAAATTAGTTAGAAAAGGAGGCAATTTCTTATCATTTCAATGAAACGTAATTTGCTTCTTTATTTAAACTAAGAAATGGGAGTGAATGTATAATACAGGGTGTCCCAATAAACATGGGAATTCAGTGACGAATTCGATATCGCCTTTTCAAATAATTCTTTGATTTAGTATAGTGATACCTACTGAGAAAGCTGTAATCTGTAAGAGTTTCGTCTGCAATGTTCAAAATTTGTTTGTTTATGTTTTGACTGCATACGGTTGTACTTAGTAAAACAAGAAAATTGGAGTATACAAACAGAGTAAACTTGTCCGTCTTTACTGTTCATCTTGCAACGACATTATAGACACATCTTTATAGTCTTTTACCCATTTCATAAAATATACTCTGGCAGACATAATAATATTATGGTTTTTGAAATTAGGTATTACAATGCTAATTCATAACAAAGACGATATCGAATTCGTCACTGAATTCCCATGTTTTTTGGGACACCCTGTAGTATCCCGTCTACGGACCAATGATGCAGAATACTTCTTAGGTCGATCTATCCATTTAATATGGTAGTGTATTGTACTTTGCATAAGTAATGTATACTAATTCAATAAGTTGAGATCAGGGGGTACAAAGGCGGACACAGGGGGGTGGCGGGGGGACATTCGCCACCCCCTGACAGATTCAGGGAGGGGCGTAGCCCCCCCCTGAGATTTCGAGGCAAAAAATGTTCCCAATTTGATAAATCGTATGTGTTTTTCAATTTTAAGCTATTTGATTATTTTTTATTTACCCTGTCCTAATCCTTTCATTTTGTTCCTAATTCCTGGACAATCTTTTTATTGTTCCTAAATCCCTGTCCTAATCCTTTAATTTTGTTCCTATTTCCTGAGCAATCTTTGTATTGTTCCTAAATCCCTGTCCTAATCCTTTAATTTTGTTCCTAATTATCAATTTTTTTGTTCCTAAAAAATCTTGCCCCCCCCTCACTTAAATCCTGTGTCCGCCCCTGAGGGGGTACTCTAATATCAATCTTTTTATTTCCACACATCTTGGAAACTTCAGGTAAGGTTCTTATTGCTCAGTACTCGCGTTAAGAGGTCTGGATCTCCAGGTTGGTTAACACTATTATCAGATTCTACCATAGATAAAGATAGATTGCGCATAAGACGATATTTTTCATCTTGAAAGATATAAATGTACAGAGATGTTTTAAAGATATTCTTATTATATAGATTAACTGGGTCGGTTGTGAACATTGGCTGTTCTTATGTCATTGAGTACTTGTGGTGTACATGAGTTCTGTAGAGAGAAATTTAAGTTAGTTTAGTCCTCCTCATGTCCTTCTTCAGTTCTCGTCAATATGATATATTGCTCAGTGAACTATTGTTGTTCAAATAGTTCCATTCCCGGAGTTATTTTACACTCTATTATGAAATCCATTAAAACACCAAACCACTCCGCTTATCATTAAAGTACACTTTGACCCATAGAAGTATGAGTTCGCGGACTGTACAATTCTTGGTGATTTTGCGTACATAAGCTATCTATGTTCATTTATTTTTCTATGGATTCTACAGAAATTTAAAGTAAAATATGGTTCAACGTCTTTTTAAAATTATCAAATACCTTCTTTATATCAGACAGATCTGGTGTTTTCTTATCTAGATAAATCTGAAATCATCAAAATTGATAAAAAAAAGTAAAAAAAAGTTTCAACAAGTCGGTGGTAGTGAGAGTAGTTTGAAATAAAAAAACAAATTCTTGAATAAATATTGATATATAGATTTTAAAAAGTCGGAGGTAGTGAGGGTAGTGGCAAAATGAAAAAAAATCAAGAATTTGTTTTTTACTTCAAACTACCCTCACTACCACCGACTCGTTGAAACATTTTTAATCAACAGTTATTCAATAATTTATTTTCAATTCCCAACTACCCTCACTACCTCCGACTTTTTAAAATCTATGTATCAACATTTATATATATTACATATACATATCCATAATCAATCTGATAAAATCTGTATGTGTTTTTTTAAGATGATTTCCATGTAATTTATGCGGGAAGATATGAGGTGTTCTGTCAGGTTACGTAAGGGGGCGGGGGGGGGGTTTGCCCTGTATTGACTCTCTCTCTCTCTGTATACGGACGGACTCCTTGACTCCAGTCTATATGAAACATACACCCAAAACTGTGAGTTTGAGCTTGGACCAAGAGTTTAGTCGAACTCTCAACCGTGAAGGAGTGTGATCTTTGTGAAAGGGAAATTGATCAAAAAACATTTTGCTTTTATTCAGTCGAATGGGATAATATTTTAAATCCCAAGTCATTAAACATTGATCAATGGATTTCTGAAATATCTGTTTTTAAGTGATTAAACTGCAGTACACTTTGTAATTAGGCTTCTTTAGTGGAAGTAATGGAGGTCTTTGCATGGCTTACAAAATCCAATGTATGCTATTAAAAAAACAGAGGTTGGAGCCCAAATATGGTTGGTTCCAAGAAAAATTGTATTCAATATTTTAAGATTTAGGGCGGCGCTCAATTAAAACCGGGGTTTGGCGGATTTGAGACGCGCCTTAAATTCATTAAATTCGGACTCAGGATTATTAACTTTATAACTCTAACCCAAAAATCATGATTTACAATTTTGTCGCCAAAACGACCATGGGGTTTTGGTTTGGAATTTGGGTTTTATCTTGTTCAACTTTTTACTGATTTGGGCCCGAAAGATATAAAAAACTTATGCTTTTTATTTTATTATTATTATATACAGATAAAACTTTCATGGGTCGCGATCGAGAGCTAAAGTGATTAGCTTTCAGTCTATACCCCCTTTCATTTTTCCTTTACTGTCCCTTTAAATAATATTTTTGTTGAGCAGTTAATTATTATTCTTGTGAGCAAATTGGGTTGATATTTGTTCTGAACATTCTCAACCAAATACAATGTGTGCATACAATGTTTATATTTTGCACAAGTTTGCAGAGTTTTCATTGCATTTCGGAGATTGGCATTTTTAGCATGAGCATTTAGCAAGGTTTTGGTAATTTTCCATTTGCGGGAAATCCTGATTTAACAATAAACACATTTTAAATATTGAGCAATGAAAAATTAAAAAACTGCATAAAATATACTCTTGCGGAGGCCTTTTTGAAGAAAACAAAATTAAAAAATACATTTTTATCTTTATTTCCAAATATGTAAAAAATACTAATTGCATTATTTTTTGATGATATAGATTGTAGATTTGGCCAGTTCAAATTTATTTTATTAAAAAGTTTGCATTCTTAGATAATTTTTGCACATATCCAGTCTACAACACCCATTCCTTTTTATTCCAAACCTTTTTTTATTTTAGAACTTTGTTAAAAATATAAATTATTCAAGTTGCAAATGACATTGCAAGAATTACTTAATGTTTATACAGGGTGTCCCAAAAAACATGGGAATTCTTTGATTTAGTATAGTGATACCTACTGAGAAAGCCGTAATCTGTAAGAGTTTCGTCTGTTATGTTCACAATTTGTTTGTTTATGTTTTGACTGCATACAGTTGTACTTAGTAAAACAAGAAAATTGGAGTATACAAACAGAGTAAACTTGTCCGTCTTCACTATTCATCTTGCGGAGACATTATAGACTCATCTTTACAGTCTTTTACCCTTTTCATAAAATAAACTCTAGCAGACATAATAATATTATGGCTTTTGAAATTAGGTATTACAATGCTAATTCATAACAAAGACGATATCGAATTCGTCACTGAATTCCCATGTTTTTTGGGACACCCTGTATTTTCATTTTCATAGTTTTATAAACATGTGTTTCATTTTGGTAAAATTGCATATTTCTGTTTGAATTATCAAATTAATTTAGGTTTTTGGAGAGACCTAAATCCAATCGTTTAAAAAGTACTTTTACTATCATAATTTTCATTGATTTTAAATTTTCTTTATATTTGATCACATCAGACAGTTTTTTGATAGAAAAACTCTGGAAATTCTCTCAATTCCACTGAAAATATGATAGTTTTTTAAACAACAGTGAGTGAGAGTCAGAAAACATTGGAATAGTATTGTTAAAATGTCGTCTTCTTATTCCACAGTTTCTTGGTTAACACTGTACAAACTTTAGCGGGCATTATTTTGTTTCCATGCAGGGGCGAAGGACGACCTGACAGATTCAGGGAGGGGCGTAGCCCCCCCTGAATTTGGAATTTATTATTTCTATTTTCAGAATAGCTTCTCAATAGCATTGTTAAGGGAATGAAACCCTAATGCAAAACAGGAAAAATATCTGTCTTAATAAACTATAATGTGTGAAAAGTTAAAAATCTAGTTTGTTGGTCTTTAGTCATTAATTTTCACTCTTTTTGAGTCTTTTAAGTCAAAAAAAATTTTCGCCTGCGCTGCCATTTTTTGTTCCTAATTATGAATTTTTTTGTTCCTAAAAAATCTTGCCCCCNACCATATACTAGGTACACTAGACAGGCTGGTAAACACTACACCACCATATACTAGGTACACTAGACAGGCTGGTAAACACTACACCACCATATAATAGGTACACTAGACAGGCTGGTAAACACTACACCACCAGGCCATCCTTGTACACTGGTTGGGAGTATGCAACTCTTGAACTGGTCCTTTCTTCTGACGGCAATCTGGGGATTCCATTTCGGGGTTCTTTTAAAGAAATCCTTATTTTTCTTATTTATAACTCCTATAAGTATGTTTAGCAATATTAAAAAGAAATTGTTTTGTGGTTTAGAGAAAAGATGTATTTATTCTGGGCGCGTGTTTTAATCTCCTACTGCGCGCTGATTAGTGTGCTTGGAAGCGCGCTGTCTCCACAAATAACAGGAAAAAATGTTACAAATGGTCAAAATCACGATTAGACCACCTTTAAACTGTTTTTTTGTACAATTTCGATATTTTCAAATACTCTAATAAGATTGTTAAGGCTTCTAAAAGCTGTCAATGGACTTCCGGCATGAAAACAAAAAAGTTCCAAAATTAAAAAGAATTTAACCGTGTCAGGGAAAATTTTGTTAAATTCGATTTGAATTGATTTTAAAAATTCCACTCAGAAGTAAAATCGATTTGAATTGATTTTTAAAATTCCACTCAGAAGTAAAATCGATTTGAATTGATTTTAAAAATTCTACTCAAAAGTAAAATCGATTTGAATTGATTTTAAAAATTTCACTCAGAAGTAAAATCGATTTGAATTGATTTTAAAAATTCCACCCAAAGTTATGGAAAAGTAATAAGTCAAAACGAATATTAAAAGTAAGTGACAGATGTCATTTTCTTCAAGATATTCTGAAAGAAAGGTTTTCTTTTTGTTAAGAGGTGTCACCATGGTAATTTTCTAAGTTAAACGTTTTTTTGACCCCTCCCCCTGTCCCTTCACTATAGCTCTGATAATCATATATTTTTGTCATTGTAAGAATTACATATTTGATTTTAAGAAATGTGTGAAATGTGTCAAGCTACTCAACATAACTTCATTGTACTCGTAAATATATGCAGTATCCTTCCTCCCACCCCCACCCTCTTTCTGACGACCTTATCCATCCTTCCTGCACCCTTATCCNTCTACATCTTTGTGAACAACCTAAAATCCTTTTCTTAACTGGGTGACTTTTTACAGGAAAACCCAAGGAAAAAAGAAAAAACAGATATTTGACTGATAAACTTCTAGGGTGCAGCAAAGACAATGAGTTTTTGGGGTTAGTGGATCGACAATTTTGTTGTGCTTTTTATAGAATAAAATTTATAATTCAATTATGCTTTATTTTTGGAAAGCAATCCCTCCCTTTTTCGGGCGTATACTTGTTGATTTGAATTTTCCACAAAGTGACAATGAACTAGCAATGTAGAATTTAAATTCTACATGACAGTATTGTGATTTAAATACGAGACGCATGCTTAAGGCTGAGTACGCGCTCCTTTATAAAAACTGCTTGTTTTCTGCTATTTTAAAATTTGTATTGGCGCAAACTATTGTTTACTTTTTCATTAATGCTCAGTTACTGTTGTATACATAAGTAATCATTGTGTATGATACAAAATTTTCTTTTTTTAAAGCGACGGCTTCAAAGCTTTATGGGTTCCCGGATTTTTTCAAAAAGAATTTGGATATTTCCAAGTTTTTAGAATTAAATTAAATTAGAATTGAAACTAACTTTGTCTATTTATACCTTTTTTTCTTGAAATACAGGGTGTCCCAAAAACATGGGAATTCAGTGACGAATTCGAAATCGTCACAAACAATATGTGACCATAGCAGACGAAACTCTTACAGATTACAGCTTTCTCAGTAGGTATCACTATACTAAATCAAAGAATTATTTGAAAAGACGATATCGAATTCCCATGTTTATTGGGACACCCTGTAGCAACATTGCAGTGCACAAACAAAGTATATAATGCCTATAAAACTAGTATTTTTGCACAACATGGTTTGTTTAGAATACACTTAAAAATTATATTTTTAAGCAGTATTTTTCTGTCATTTTTTTCGCTTGATTTTCAAAAAGTTAATTCTTCATGAAGCAACAGCATCTTTATAAAGAAATAAACTTATTCAAACCCCTTGTAGGAAGATCAACTTCAGCCCTCCCATTAAAAAATCCTGAGCTCAGGAAGCTTGACAAATGATGAAGTTGGATTGATATGGGAGGTTTTTCAAATTCTTTAAATTCTTTCTTCTTCCTTAGAATTCCTTTTGCAACTTCAAAACAGATCTTTTTGGCTGGTGTTTTGTTATACATTTTACCAGCGGCAGTGTAAAAAATAGTATAATATTATTATTATCGTGAAATATTTTTAAAATTTTAATCCTTTCCTCTCAAAATAAACCAAGATAATGTTGTTATTTAAGGGCGTGGTTGACCTTACAAAGTTTTATAGTTAATTAAGCTTTTAGTTAATTGGAATTATCAAATTAATTAACAGATATTATTATATATCCTCGCAGAGAGCCCTTCGTTTCCTAATTAAACATTCAACAGTAATTTTTGTATTTAAAAAAATTCGTTTAGAAAATTCTTTATATTATTTATAGCTCCTTTCCCACGCAATCTCAGTATCAAACTTTTGTTGTATATTACTCTGAGTTCTTCTTAAAGTATTGTTCATCCAAATTCATGGATTATTTAAGTTTTTTTACCTAGGGTGAAATTCCCGCATAATTACAGGGGCGTTTGACCAGGGGGCTTATATTCACTAACCATAGCTGGCCCTTTCGAAGGTGGGGGGGGGGGTTCCCAATTCCCCCCCCCCCCCATAAAGCAATATCAGATTTTTAAACTTTTGTGGGTTTGTAACATTAGCGCTGCGACCAGGAACTGAAAATGTTGGTTTGATTCTTCAATGCATTGAAACCTACAAATCATATTCACATCCAGATCCTGTTCATATAAGGTTAGTTATAATTACTTAACAATTGAATTTAAAAAATGTAGCTGGCTCCAACAAATATTTATAATTAATTGAGGTATGCTTTTACTTTTATCTTACACTAAAGAGAATGGTTTCAAATATGATTTCCGTTGCTCGAAATTGTGCTCGAAATTGTGCTCGAATTGCGCGAAGTTTACAGAGCTCGCAATTGCACGCAAGTAAACATTAAAAAGTTTATTTAACAGTTTAAAAAATTCGAAATTGAAATGAATAGTCTAGGGAACATACTGTACTGTACTCTACTGCATATAATTTGTGAACATTTACATGATTTGTACACTTTGAACTCCCTTTCAGGCTGAAAGGGACTGAAAAAAATCATACCGAGAGGTTCTTTTAATTCCTCTCTATATATTCTATTCTCTATGGTTAAACCTCCTTGTTTCTATCTATAAGTTTCTAAAACAGGTTCTAACAATAGATTAAATGTGTTCTTTTCCAGGAATAAGCGGAGAGTTGAAGCTAGACAAGAGCAAGTAAAAGAAGAAGAAGGGGAGGGGGAGGGGGAGAAGGAGGAGGAGGAAAAAAGAAAATATAAAAGACTGGAACATGATATTAAGATCAGAGGAGAAATTAGGAGCAGGTGCCAAATTTAAACATTTAATTGGGTTGTTTGCGAGAAAAGAAGAAGGGGCTAAAGTTAACCAAAAGGAGTTGAGCCTTTGAAACAAACTCAAATTTTCGAATTCCCATATCTTTGCAACCTGATGAGGTAAACCTTTGATTTTTCTAACTTAGATTATTCGATCTAACAGAAAGTCATCGGGTTGCAAAGATGGTTTAGAAAATCAGAGTTTGTCGTAAAGACTCAATTTCTTTTCTTTTAAAACCAGCATAATGAAATGATACCTTGACATAATCTGTAAATAATTATTCATTGCAATTTGCAGACACTTACTATACTAGTGTTTGGTCGAAAAATAACGCTAGAAACGATTTGTTTTTTAGATCAAGATTCTCACTTAAATTTTTATTCTGATTTTGATTAAATTGATCATATTTGTGGAGCACTTACAAAACATTTCCCCACAAAATGTTTCATCTAACAAGTGTTTCCTCACAAAAAAAAAAATTTCAGTCATTTCTGAATTTTTTGTTTCCAGTTCATGTTAAATCTAATATTCATGAGACAAGAAAGTTAAAATTTATTTTAAATTATCTGAATTGTGTTAAATTGAAATGTTTCTAAACGAAAACATATTGATTTCATATTTTGATTTTATGAGATATTTAAACATTGATATCTTATTTTACTTTTGATATTTAAAATATTTTGATAGAAAATTTGTAGTTCAGTTTTAAATTGATTAATATACACTCAACTTTTTATACTTGCCAATTTTTAACAGGTCACCGATTCTCGATAAGGGGAGGCGAGGAGGGGACAGGAGGGGGGGGGTAATATGGAGGGACGGGAGGAGGGGACAAACCAGGGCGAAATATATGTTTGGTTTTTAAATAATTTCTTTAATTTGACAAAAAAAAGTTAAAAGAGTAAAAGCGAAAAACTTCTATCTAAAACTTCTATCTGAAACTTCTATCTGAAACTTCTATCTAAAACTTCTATCTAAAACTTCTATCTAAAACTTCTATCTAAAACTTCTATCTAAAACTTCTATCTAGAACTTCTATCTAAAACTTCTATCTAAAACTTCTATCTAGAACTTCTATCTAAAACTTCTATCTGAAACTTCTATCTGAAACTTCTATCCAAAACTTCTATCTAAAACTTCTATCCAAAACTTCTATCTGAAACTTCTATCCAAAGTTCTATCTAAAACTTCTATCTAAAACTGCTATTTGTGATCGAAATTGAAAGCGTGCTTGGAGCGGGGGGGGGAATATAAACTAATTTATACTAATTTGTTTTCATTTGCTTGAAAGAACAAGATTTGTAAGAAGTAAAAAAAGGAGTAATTTCCAGCAGTTTTGAGAAATTATTTAGAACATTTGTAAAATTTAAAAATTTCGTTTCCCTTTAAAATGATTATGTTTACGCCTCCTGTAACATGATTATGTATATGCCCCCTTTAACATGATTATGTATACGCCCCTTTAACATGATTATGTAATATGTATACGCCCCCTTTAACATGATTATGTATACGCCCCCTTTAACATGATTATGTATACGCCTCCTGTAACATGATTATGTATACGCCCCCTGTAACATGATTATGTATACGACCCCTTTAACATGATAATGTATATGCCTCCTGTAACATGATTATGTATACGCCCCCTTTAACATGATTATGTATATGCCTCCTGTAACATGATTATGTATACACCCCCTTAACATGATTATGTATACGCCCCCTTTAACATGATTATGTATACGCCTCCTGTAACATGATTATGTATACGCCCCCTTTAACATGATTATGTATACGCCCCCTTTAACATGATTATGTATACGCCTCCTTTAACATGATTATGTATACGCCTCCTACAACATGATTGTGTATACGCCCCCTGTAACATGATTATGTATACGCCCCCTGTAACATGATTATGTATACGCCACCTGTAACATGATTATGTATACGCCTCCTTTAACATGATTATGTATACGCCTCCTTTAACATGATTATGTATACGCCCCCTTTAACATGATTGTGTATACGCCCCCTTTAACATGATTATGTATACGCCCCCTTTAACATGATTGTGTATACGCCCCCTTTAACATGATTATGTATATGCCCCCTTTAACATGATTATGTAAACGCCCCCTTTAACATGATTGTGTATACGCCCTCTTTAAAATGAATATGTATACGCCCCCTTTAATATGATTATGTATACGTCCTCTTTAAAATGAATATGTATACGCCCCCTTTAACATGATTATGTATACGCCCCTTTAACATGATTAGGTTTACGCCCCCTTTAACATGATTATGTATACGCCCATGCAATGAGCATTGATCCTGGCTTCTTGTACAGTGATTTTACAATGTTAGCAATGAGCTTGCAAAACAAGCAATGATTTTGCTCAAAATTATGTGAGCAGAAAATTTAAGATATCATTTCGTTTTATAAATATTATTTTTAACCTAAATTATTTATTTATATTTATAATAAGAATCAAATGCATTATTTTAAATTATTGACATACGATGCTTTGGATGAAAGGAAAAATGAGAGTGAAAGAATAGAGAATGAAAGGATAAACAAATGAAGGAATAAAGAATTAAAGGTTAAATGAATGAAAGGATAAATAAATGAAAAAAGAAACAAATGAAAGGATAAATAAATGAAAGAATAAAGACTTAAAGGTTAAATGAATGAAAGGATAAACAAATGAAAGGAAAAAGAAATGAAAGGAAAAAGAAATGAAAGGATAAACAAATGAAAGGATAAACAAATTAAAGAATAAAGAATTAAAGGTTAAATAAATGAAAGGATAAATAAATGAAAGGATGAAGGGATGAAAGAATAAATGAAAGAAAGTATATTTGAAAGAAAGGAGGAAGGATGAAGGGATGAAAGTATAAATTAAGAAATGATTAATACATAAAACGATAAATGAATAAATGAAAAGTAGGTGGATGAAAGGATGACTGAATGAATGAATGAATGAATGATTAGGGTGTCTGGCTACCAATGAAGATGTAAGGCTAAAGAAAAAGTAAAAATCTCTAGATAGTTAATCATATTCTATTCTGTACTTAAACATTTAGATATTCTGTTTACTAGCTTACACTTCTTTCTCAGGAGGANATGGAAGGGAGGGTATTATTTATCATGGTTTAGTTTGTCTTAAATTTGGTTTTATTTAAACGAAAAAACCTTGTTTTTATCAAAACAGAATGACTTTGGTTCATGGAAACGAATTGATTTTGGTTCTATTAAAACGAATTGACTTTGGTTCTATTAAAACGAATTGACTTTGGTTCTATTGAAACGAAATGAATTTGGTTCTATTAAAACGAATTGACTTTGGTTCTATTAAAACGAATTGACTTTGGTTCTATTAAAACGAATTGACTTTGGTTCTATTGAAACGAAATGAATTTGGTTTTATCAAAACGAAATGAATTTGGTTCTATTAAAACGAAATGAATTTGGGTTTATCAAAATGAAATAAACAATTGGTTTTATTTCACCGAAATAAACTTTCAGGTAATCAAAACGAACTGAACTTTTTATTTTTTAAACAAAATGAAATTTGGGTCTAATAAAACGAATTGAACTTAGAACTGAGTGGGCAGAATCTTTAATATTATGTTTGCTCCTCATTTGAATACATAATCTTTCTGGTGATCTATCATAGTCAGAACCTACGCAACCAAGAGGATAAATAACCACAGAGTTGCCAGTTATCTGTTATTATGTACTCTACGAATTAACTTTTCATTTTGTCCATGAAACACTGTAGTAGCGAGGAGTATTTTATTAAATAATTGGTTTTCTGCTAAGTAATAATAATAGTTATCAGATAGTTCATATTGTTAAGTTAATAACTGTGAGAAACTGGAAAAAGATAAAAACAAAAAATTGTTAAAATTATCTCCAAAACTCATTCTCTGCTGAGTGCTCATGCAGTGGGTTCTTTCTATGTTGCTAACGATATTTTTAATCGAGGTGCCTTCAGGGTCCAATATTTAGTTAATGCCTTTAAAATCAGAACTATACTCTATTGTCTATCAATCTATTTATCTATTAACTACAGGGTGTCCCAAAAAACATGGGAATTCAGTGACGAATTCGAAGTCGGCTTTGTATAAGATTTATGATTTAGTATAGCGATACCTACTTATATGAAAGCTGTCATCTCGGTGAATTTTTCGTCTGCTAGAGTTTAAAAATTGTTGTTTGTTTATGTTTTGGTTCAATACGAATGTACTGAATAAAATTAGAAGATTTCGAGTAAAAATAAAGTACACTGTTAATACTGCAGAAATTTTAAAGAAATAAATAATTATTGCAGAAAATATGCATTTTAATCAGCTCTGGATCTCCGTTAAGTTGATCTACCACCTCTGTGATTCGCTCTTCAAGTTCGTCCAAGGAGATGGGGAGAGGACTGGTAAAGACCATCCTTTTCATTATGGACCAGATACTAAAGTCCATGACACTCAAGTCCGGGCTCCGTGGAGCCCAGCTGTGGCCCCTGAGACCCCTAAGGTCAGCACCAAGGCCAAGAACTCGACCATCAAATTATTGGTCTAGGTATTCCATGAATCTAGGATTTCTGTGGATGGTAGCACCGTCCTGTTGCCAAATTATTCCTACGTTAAAACCATATTTAGATTTTTTAGAAGATCATAAGAAACTTTGAAGTTGTAAAGTAAATTTTTGGTAATCATAAAAGTAAATTTTTGGTAATCATAAAAGTTAATTTGGTGTGTTTTAATTATTTAAAGGCTAACTAAAAAAATTCCCCACCCCCCTTATAGAAACAGCTCATTTTTAAACACTTAAAATAACAGTAGACATAATTTTAAGCATGGATAAACCAGAAGATACGTTGAAATTACGTCTACAGTCACTTTAACATCATTGCCCTGGCCTTGCCTTAAAAAAAGGATGAATAGTGTCTCCTTATTTTCTAAAACTTATGAAATATGGTTCCTTCAAGTGATCCGTTGTTTGCAGCCATCAACTGAGGAATGCACTCCTCCTTAACCAATTCTTGGTACATCTGGGAATTCATATTTCCGTGTATAAATTTTAAACCAAAGAGTCTTCCCTTACAGGTACCGGCAAACACCATCAACTGAAAAAAATAATAATTATTCAAAAAAAAATGCATAAAAATACAAAGACCAAAGATACTGATACCTGGAGTAAGGTTGGGTTTAATTGGTACTGGAACCTGGAGTAAGGTTGGGTTTAATTGATACTGGAACCTGGAGTAAGGTTGGGTTTAATTGATACTGGAACCTGGAGTAAGGTTGGGTTTGATTGATACTGGAACCTGGAGTAAGGTTGGGTTTAATTGATACTGGGACCTGGAGTAAGGTTGGGTTTAATTGATACTGGAACCTGGAGTAAAGTTGGGTTTAATTTTACCTTTTCTGCATGTTTCTCCTTCATGTGGATTAAGTTTACATCAAGACCAGCTCTGCCTGCACCCCCTTTCTTTTTGGATCCAATGTACCGTGTACAGTTTCGTGAATTAACCTCTCCATCTGCAAATCGAAAATTTGTTCAATTCATTAAACGCATTTTTTTTATAAAACTTACGTAGTTTTTTTATTTAAACATCCATTTTAAGTTTTAGTGTGAAAAAATTCTTTTCTTTGCATGTTTGAAAAAAACAACAGTAATATTAAGTTCATTCTGCTTGACACAAATTTATAATTCTTACCCAAGTAAAAGTTAGCTTCGTCAGTGAAAGCGATATTAATGAGTTCTTCATCTGAGAGCGTCACTAGCCACTCGCACATCTCGAACCTTTTCTCCCTGTCCCCCTGTGATAGACGAAGCTGCTGTGCTGTAATCAATCTAAAAAATATACAAGTTAAAGAATGTCCATATGTATATAATGAGAATGGCAGCGGAATCAAATAGTCATTTTTAATGATGAAGTTTAAAACATGCCATGTTCTAGATTTCAGTTACACCTAGTTTACCAACTGACTGACTAAGGGTCAACTTGCACCCCCCTTCCCCTTTTTTTCTTATTTTGATAAGAAACTATTTACTTATTGTCTCTGAAGTAGAAATTCGAAACTCACTTAATAGAAAAACTATAATTAAAACTAATCAATATTGGAGCTTAAACTATCTATGAATCTATTAACTATCTATCTATCTATCTTTCTATCTATCTATCTATCTATCTATCTATCTATCTATCTATCTATCTATCTATCTATCTCTCTATCTATCTATCTATCTATCTATCTATCTATCTATCTATCTATCTCTCTATCTATCTATCTATCTATCTATCTATCTATCTATATATATATTGGCTCACCTATTGACACTAAACTATTAGGAGCCAAACGACATCAATTCTTGGAATAGCCAACTCTTTCAAGATTGTACTATATTTTCTTTTCATTCATTTATTCATTCGATTCATCCATTCGGGGGGGGGGGTGAAGATTTCGACCCTCCCCTCCCCCACATTCTGTTTGTCTCTATAGGCAAAGAGATGCATAATTTTACAGATATAGTAGAAAACAGATCTGTATATTTTAGAAATATCAGGGAAAACAACTAATTATTCACACGTCACAAATAGTTTTGTCTTAAATACTTTACTGTCAGGCTCAGAAGGGAAATATAAACTTCATGCCCCTCCCCTCCTTCTTCCATTCAATTTCTTGCACCGCTCCTATATCCCTACCCTTTAATAGAAGTTTTAGAAATTTCTCAAAAACCTAAAATCACATTTTTCCCTGAAATTTTCTGAAGTTTCACAAAAAATATTAGTTTGCAAAATTAATGTACGAAAGAGATTTTTCACTGAGTTTTGTCACAAACTCATATTTTCTAATCTTTTCAGTGTAAACTTAGATTATTTGGTCTAACAGAATTCATAGTTTGAAATATCGTCACCAGTTTGCAAAAATTTAGTAGTTAGAAAATTTAAGTTTGGGGGCAAGAACTCAATTCCTTTTGACATAAGCACTTTAACCGGACCGGACCCTTAAATTTGGTCTTTTTATTTTAATTCATAGATAAGATGCGAGTGAGATAAAAACAACACGTATTTATAAATAAGTTAACAAACTCTTTAGTAAGTAAGTAAGTAAATAAGTAAGTAAGTAAGTAAATAAGTTTTAAAAGAGATAAGTCATTTTTCATATAATATGACAAACATTCAACTTGAAAGATGAATAAATGTAATTAAATATATCATGTAATTATGTAATAGATATCGGGTAAACACTATATCCGTAAACCTGAACTATGTTGTACATTATTAATTCTCTTCATTCGTAAATATCTATGTAAAACCATTTCATAATTAATTTTAACTGTGCTGTAAAATAACAACATAACATGATTAGCTTAATCATGTAATATGGATGGCAACGTAGAAATTGTAACTACGTCTTTCCACATTAGCTTGTAACATATAAATCCCAAATACAGTAGTTGATATAGAGACTCCGTACTGTTTACTGCAAGAGACTAATCGTTCCTTGTTTTAATAAACAAGTCGAGATTGTGCCCATTGGTTTGGCATTGATAGTTTACAAGCTAGTGTCTGTGTTGACATCGATAGTTGATGAGATCTAGCCCATTGGTTTGGCATTGATAGTTTACAAGCTAGTGCCTATGTTGACATCGATAGCTGACAAGATCTAGCCCATTGGTTTGACATTGATAGTTTACAAGCTAGTGCCTGTGTTGACATCGATAGCTGACAAGATCTAGCCCATTGGTTTGGCATTGATAGTTTACAAGTTAGTGTCCGTGTTGGCATGGATAGCTGATGAGATCATGCTCAGTGGTTTGGCATTGATAGTTTACAAGCTAGTGCCTGTGTTGACATTGATAGCTAACGAGATCTAGCCTATTGGTTTGGCATTGATAGTTTGCAAGCTAGTTGACATCGATAGCTGATGAGATCATGCCCAGTGGTTTGGCATTGATAGTTCCCAGGATCGTGTCCAGGTTTTGATATTGATAATCAAGTGAAACTGAGTTATACCTGGATAGATACAGGTCTAAAAGCAGTTTTAGGAGTAGGGCAGTTACTACAATTATATCAAAAAATTATAGATAAATAACGTGGGTGGCTGTGAATGGTTGATGATACTTTTTTAGTAAATTTTTACTTTAAACAAGAATTAAAGTTTCTAGAATTGACTGAAACGCTTGCCTTTATAAACGTCAAGATGGTTGTTAGGATTAAATGTCCATAACTGAATATTTGAAAATATTATTATTATTATATATTATTCAAATTCTTGAAATATGATCCATGAAGGAAGGTGTATTAACTGTTGAAGGGACTGTCCACGTAATTTCGTGATAAAAGAAGCATGCTTGATTCACAACGGTACCTTGTAAACCTTTGTCTGTGCTTAATTTACTAACTGCAAATGGGCCCGGCATTGCCCGTGGAGAAAAAAAATGTCACCCCTAGGATACCCACGAGTTTCCACAAAAAATTTCAGCTCATTTAATCCAGCCCTTTGGCCGGTCAGAGGGAACATATATATGAATGTCTTGTTTTATTATATAGATAATTGTAGTTTCCTACAAATATTGACTTCCATCTGCTAATTTCTTGATATTTCAAGAACACTAAAAAGGAAAATGTAATTATCGACCCATTTCTTATGCATTGCTTTTTTGCAAGTTTGTGAATTGTGGGACTTCATTTACTCTTTCAATAATTCCCCACATCATCATGTTAATTTATCTTGGATAGTCCTGTTCCTCTGTAATTTCCCCCTTTTTACCCCCCCCCCTTATAATTTCCCCCTCTGTACTCCCAGTCCCCCCTTGCAGTTTCCCCCGGCTTTGCTGTTTTTCTGCTCATTATTTTTCACATCTGTTCTCCCTAGTTAACCTCAACTAACGTTTCATTACACTTTCTGCACATCATTCTTTTTATCTATCTTAAAAGTCAAATATAGCCAGGCTACTTACTAGGTCGACTCTACACAGGGTAGTACAGACTGGACACTACAACTGGATGCACGCATATACAATAAATGTTGTACAGGCTCGGATCATGCAACTTTTAAAATGGGGTGGTAGAAAGACGACCATTAAGCAATCTAATACATGCGTTACAGATGTTTATTTTTTACAGTGCACATTGACATACTTCTTTTTCTGACGCATTTTTGTAACATTGTTTATAGTTATTTCATCTAACGGTTTCCAATTTTTTTAATTTACTTCCCAGTAGCTTGTTTTTTTTTACCTGGAAATCTATATATCTATCTATATCTAAATATATCTAAATATATCTTTATATGCTTAATTACATTTCTATACTATCAATCAATCAATCAATCTATCTATCTATCTATCTATCTATCTATCTATATATATCTTTATATGCTTAATTACATTTCTATACTATCTATCTATCTATCATCTATCTATCTATCTATCTATCTATCTATCTATCTATCTATCTATCTATCTATCTATCTATCTATTAAGACTTATGCTTTCCTTCCACTTTTACTTTTACCTCTTACTTTCACTATAAACTCAAACATAATCTCTTGTGAAATCCCCCCCTCCTCCCCCCGTGTGGGGGAAATATTTCAACTATTCCCAGTATTTACCCCCCAGCCCCTGGAATGTTAGGTTTGTCTAAACTGCGACATTTCAACAAATCTCCAGCTTCTCACAAAAACAATTTTTTTGCAAAAAAAAGTTGTGTTTTCGCGGGGCCTCGTGCCCCTGTTTTCCGTAAGGAAGCTAAGCTTTCAAATGTTAGTTAATCCGCAACTTTTTTTTCTTAGTACATTATGAAAAAAGTCAAGATTTTGGCGGATTTGCAAAATCTTTAAAGGATGCAAAATTCAGTTTTTTACTGATTCTTTAAAAAATGCAATCTGTCAAGATTTCTAAAAATTGCAATTGAAGTATCCACGATTCAATATAATGCGAGGAATATCGAAGGGGGGGGACTAGAAAAATTTGCACAAACTTGGGGAAAAATCTTTAAGAACCAATATTTATGATTGTAAAATTCCTTTTTTTCTGAAATATTCCTTACACACACCCCTTTTATCTACTCTTTGCGATGTGCAAATAATCTTTACGCACTGTGCAAATAGAATATGCTAATCTCATTTATTCCGTCTAGAGGGTTTATTTATGGCATAGAGCTGTAGAGAATCTAATCTGAATCAACAATAAAAACATAGAACTAGGGATGGGCATTGGGCACCGCTTATTTCATTTCTTTTGTTAAATAATAATTTGTTTAGCCATCAAAAATGTGACCAACTCCAAGATATAAACATCCTCGCATCTTTTTCTAAAACAAATCCATTCATCCTCTATACATCCTCCATCCTCCATTTATCCTCTATCCATCCATTCTCCATCAATTCTCCATTCATCCTCTATACATCCTCCATCCTCCATTCATCCTCTATACATCCTCCATCCTCCATTCATCCTCTATACATTCTTTATCTATCCATTCTCCATCCATCCTCCATCCATTCTCCATCCATCCTCCATTCATCCTCTACACATCCTCCATCCTCCATTCATCCTCTATACATCCTCCATCCTCCATTTAACCTCTATCCATTCTCAATCCATCCTCCATTCATCCTCTATACATCCTCCATCCTCCATTCATCCTCTGTACATCCTTTATCTATCCATTCTCCATCCATCCTCCATTCATCCTCTATACATCCTCCATCTTCCATTCATCCTCTATACATCCTCCATCATCCATTTAACCTCTATCCATTCTCCATCCATCCTTATTCATCCTCTATACATCCTCCATCCTCCATTCATCCTCTATACATTCTTTATCTATCCATTCTCCATCCATCTTCCATCCATTCTCCATCCATCCTCCATTCATCCTCTTTACATCCTCAATCCTCCATTCATCCTCTATACATCCTCCATCCTCCATTTAACCTCTATCCATTCTCCATCCATCCTCCATTCATCCTCTATACATCCTTCATCCTCCATTCATCCTCTATACATCCTTTATCTATCCATTCTCCATCCAACCTCCATCCATTCTCCATCCATCCTCCATTCATCCTCTATACATTCTTCATTCTCCATTTATCCTCTATCCATCCTTCATCCATCCATTCTCCATCCATCCTCCATCCATCCTTCATCCATCCATCTGTTTGTCCATCCGCTAATCTATATTCTATTGATCTCTTTCAATTCTTTATAAGGATTTATGTTTATGTTTCTAATTTCAATAAAACCAATCAATTAACTGCACTGCTACTGAATTATGCAATTTTTACAGGGGGGGGTTCAGAAAACAGGGGGAAATGTTGGCCTTTAATAATTATGAGCATTCTTTTTTTTTGAGTCTGCATGATATATATTTTTCTCGCTAAATTTTTATGAAAGCCTGCAATACTGTAAATATTTGATTATATTTAGGATTCCCCCTAGAGTGTATACTGTATACTGTATACCCCCTGTAGTGGAAGAATTGACCCTAAAGGATTAAGTATATGTTACCTCCCAAATATGGCCTGATCCCATTAAACTGGTATAGATTATATATATTCATATATATTATCTATATATAGGCAGATGCAGTGATAGGGTTGGGGTAGTGAGTGAGTGAGTTAATAAGTGAGCGAGAGGGTGAGTGAGTGAGTTAGTGAGTGAGTGAGTGAGTAAGTGAGTGAGTGAGTGAGTGAGTGAGTGAGTGAGTGAGTGAGTGAGTGAGTGCGTGAGTGAGTGAGTGAGTGAGTGAGNTGTAGGTCGGAGGTCAAGTTTATCTTATTAATCTTTAGATTTGCTATGGAGGTCGGAGGTTAGGTTTATCTTATTAATCTTTAGATTTGCTATGGAGGTAGTGAGTGAGTGAGTGAGTGATTGAGTGAGTGGGTGAATGAGTGAGTGAGTAAGTAACATCCAAAATAAATGTTGATTGTTACAAAGGCTATTATTTATCTTTTTAACAAGACAGATATAAAAGTATAATGAGATCTTCAAGCACAAGATATAAAATCATTTAACTTGAGCATCTGATTTATTAACAAATACATTAAGCAACACGATAAGATCTTATACAGGGTGTCCCAATAAACATGGGAATTCAGTGACGAATTCAATATCGTCTTTTTAAAATAATTCTTTGATTTAGTATAGTGATACCTACTGAGAAAGCTGTAATCTGTAAGAGTTCACATTTTGTTTGTGTATGTTTTGACTGCATACGGTTGTACTTAGTAAAACAAGAAAATTGCAGTATTCAAACAGAGTAAACTTGTCCTCTTCACTGTTCATCTTTTTTGGGACACCCTGTGGGTAAAGAAATGAGAATAAACGAATTCCGTTTTATAATTGTAAAGGATAAAACTGTGGCAAAACTGTGTTAAAAAATATATCCTTTTCAAATCCTATTCGAGCTGCTGAACCCCGCTATGAAGTGTCTGTGGGGGGGGGGGGCATAATCTGACTGTCCCTTCTTAGCTCTGTTTATCCTAAGCTGGCAAGCTTGTTATTTCCACTCAACAATTAGAGATGGGCATCCATCATTGTTTAGTTTTTATTTAGTTTTCACACAGTGGGACTCATAAAACTGTGGAATAGGAAGAGCAATGTTAACTTCTGATTTTAAAGAGAACAATATAAACATGAAACACAGAAATGTACAAATCAACTAAACCCAAAAACTTAATTATTTTCAAGCTAAAATAATTTGCGTAATGACAGCAGAACATTAAATACAAATTAGATTGCAAAAATGGCGTCTTCCGATTCCATAAATGATGAAAATTTAATGTAAGCATTATTTTAAGTAATCCTTCATTGATAGATGGGCATGTTCGATTCACAACAGTATCCTTAAAAGCTTTGTCTGATCAAGTAGGTATATTAGATATCCATGTGTTAGCTTTTGAAAACTGGTTATTTTTATTAGTGGTTTCTCTGCAAAAACCTGACTTGCGCATTTCTTTCTTCAGAAACAATAGAGAGAATATCTGAAACAGAGCAGAAAACGACGTTATATTCTAAATTATTAAATATGATAATGTTGTGAATAGAGCATGCCCTTAAATTAACACGTCAATCCCTCTCTAACTTGAATTCTATTAAAAACTTGACAGCTCCATCAGATACTTTATTCAGGGTTGTTAATCGTTTTTGAAAACGATCATTAAACGATCTTTTTTTTCGTTTTCCTATCGTTTTTTGTTTCGTTTTCCGATCATTTTAAAAACAATCGTTTTAAAAACTTTTTTAAAAAACGATCGGAAAACGAAACAAAAAACGATAGGAAAACGAAAAAACGATCGTTTTTCCAAAATATGTAAACGTTAACATCCCTAAATATTCTATGTGCTTTATTAAGGTTGTATAAGGTTTGTATTCTCGATGCGCTCAAATGTTTGAAAAATGTCGTCTCCTTAGCATGGAAAAATCCGCATATGACGTCACTGATTATAGAGGGGAGAGTGACGTCATATGCTAAGTATGACGACATTTTCCGAACTTATCATTTATACAACCTTGTTTTTTACCATACAAAATACACAAGATCTCATGATCTCATGATCTCATGTATAGAAGAATTTGTAAATACTGCAATGGTCTGACAAAAAAATATATTATATATACAATTATTGCAATAGCCAGAAATTGTGGAATGAGCTGAAATATTTATTAATAGTTTATTTCATTTATTTTTTGTTTGTTTCACAACTGATATATTTCTGAAAATGCTCAGTGTTCAGTGCAAATATTTATAAATAAAGCTGTCACAAAGAAGAACAGTTCAGTTCAACAAAGGAAGCTTTTTCTTCAGGTACGCAATTACACTTGTAGAGAATACAGTTCTGAACCCAGAGCCTGTCCATCGGGAAGTTTTCTTCAGTGTCATCATTCCAGAAACTGCTTTTATATCAAAGTAAGTTTTATTGGCACATTACACGCTGTATAGGGCTCGGTATTTAAAAGCATATTAGACATTAGTGCTGTTTTTTATCAGTTTGTTTATATTTCGTAATGGAAAGGCAAATCAAGTTATTGCTTGCTTTTAATTTTTGATAAAACTAATATTTCGGTATTTTCTGGTATTAAAAAAAACTTTTCTTTGTTAAAGCACTGTCAATGTAGCTTCAAGCTTCAAGCTTCATTCATGGACTGGTATTTCCAATTCATAATTGTACCATAAACGGCTTTGTTTTTCAAGTATGAATTAGATTTCCATGTTAATTATTTAGAAAACTGATTTTTTTCAAGCAAAAATTACTTGAACATTTCTGCTGCAGGAAAACAATGCAGAATTATCAGAATTAAACACTTTTAAAAGTTAATTAGAAAATAGACCAGTTCAAGGAAAAATAAAGATGAAGGTCTGATATTTATCAAATTAGTTCTAAGTCAGATTCATGGACTTTGTATATTGCATTCTGATCTTATTTAAAGATTTAAAATGGAGGTCTAAGGTCAGACTTATGTTTTTCATATTAAAGTTCAAGTTTATCTTATAAACCTTTAGGTTTCCTATGGAGCTTGAGGTCGGAGGTTAGGTTTACCTTATTAATCTTTAGATTTTCTATAAAGGTCGGAGGTCAAGTTTATCTTATTAATCTTTAGATTTGCTCTGGAGGTTGGATGTCAAATTTATCTTATTAATCTTTAGATTTGCTCTGGAGGTCAGAGGTCAAGTTTTATCTTATTAATCTTTAGATTTGCTATGGAGGTCGGAGGTTATTTTTATCTTATTAATCTTTAGATTTTCTATAAAGGTCGGAGGTCAAGTTTATCTTATTAATCTTTAGATTTGCTCTAGAGGTCGGATGTCAAATTTATCTTATTAATCTTTAGATTTGCTCTGGAGGTCAGAGGTCAAGTTTTATCTCATTAATCTTAAGATTTGCTATGCAGGTCGGAGGTTATGTTTATCTTATTAATCTTTAGATTTGCTATGGAGGTCGGAGGTCAAGTTTACCTGGCTGAGGTTAAGGAAAAGGAAGAGGCCTTGAAGCTGTATAAGGATGCTGTTGAAGAGGGGAAATCTGCAGGTGTCAGATATTTTAATTTATTACCTGAAGTATCATGTTTTTATTCTTCTTTTTAACCTTGAAAAAAGTTAACATTAAAGTTTTGATTAGTTAAAGTCTTTTAAAGAAAAATATGATTAACTTCCTATTTCTTAATTCCTCGGCACCCAGCATGTTCTAGCCGCGGTGCTCGGCCCCCTAGCCCATCCTAGCCGCAGCGCTCAGCCCCCCATTGCAGCCTGCGACACCTCAGAGGGCTTAACCTTACCTTTGGGAAGTTGCCACTTAGGAAATTGCAGATTTGGGAAGTTGCCACTTAAAAAGTCGCCATTGGGAAAATGCCTTTGGGAAAGTACCTAACACCTTGTACATTCTACATTTTCTTATGTCTGCTGCAGGTCATGTTGGGGTATCTGCCCGACACAGCAATAGGTTCAAGGTGTCGGTCAACACGCAGCCCGGGGAGGTCGTGAGGAGCATTATCAATCAATCAATCAATCAACTAATCAATGTTGCCATTTTTAAAAGATTGTTCAATATCAAAAAAGATTTACATAAAGATTTACACTTTATATAAATATTTGTCTAATAGTGTTAAACAGATTTTCGAAGTTTTATAAAATTGACTTATGTCGCTTTATTATTTCTGGTTTTGGACTTTTAAAGCAAGGACGAGCAAGACAATGACTGAGATCTGTCAGATTTAAGAGAACAAATTAAATATCTCCAGCACCGTTGTTTTTAGTAAATAATTCACTGCATTCTCTCACTGAAATGCCAGGTTTTAACAAATTAGAAGCTTTCAAATATTATTCTAAATTTGAATTTATTGGTTTTGCCTCCAGATTTTATCTGCTATATGAAGAGCTGTTAAAAAGAAAAGGAGGTGTTTACAATTACATAATTAATATTAGGTAAACAACTTTTTTTTAATTTACTAAATTTAATTGGTTTTTATTTTTATCATTTTTTACATTTTTCTATAGTCCACATCAGAAGCTGTCCAATTATGTAATAGATGTTAATAATTGAAAAACCCCGATTCTGAAAACGTATTTACCCCCAAAGTAGGAGTTTTGAACGTCAAATTTGCGCTCAAACTTAGGATTTACAGATCTTTAAAAAGTTTAATATGTCTCAAATGAATTCGAAAGAAGTTTTCCACAACACTGCATACTCAGTTCAACTACCTTTCATAGCCGGTCACTCCCTTTAACCATTTTCTTATAGTCCACATCAGAAGCTGTCCAATTATGTAATAGATGTTAATATTGCGGAGCAAAAAAATATTTCAAGGTGAGATTATTTTAAAAAATCTAAAACAATTTTTAAAAAGTAATTCAATCATTTAAATTAGAGAGCTATCTCATAAATAAAACACGGTTAATTTTTCTATTTTATTGCTGTCAGATTGTTTCGTGTTTTTAACACTCCTAGGCAACATGAGTTGGATTGTATAGATAGACAGTATAATCCTATATGATATTGGGACTAATATACACTCCTAGGCAACATGAGTTGGATTGTATAGATAGACAGTATAATCCTTTATGATATTGGGACTAATATACACTCCAAGGCAACATGAGTTGGATTGTATAGATAGACAGTATAATCCTATATGATATGGGGACTAAGGAAATGATTCTTTGCCAGAAACTCTGATTTTCTAATTTCTATATTTTGCAACCCAATATCGTAAACCTTTTATATTTCAAACTATGAATTCAGTTATATCAAATAATCTAAGTTTAAAATATCTAAGGTTTACACCAACAGGTTGCGATGATATAAGGATTAATAAATTTGAGTTTGTGACTTAATTCCTTTGTTTGTTCTAAGAAATGTTTAGGAAAGAAATGTATCAGAAAAAGTAACATTTAAAAATTAATCTTGTAGACAAAACAATTAAATATTAAGATACAGTGAAACCCTTAATAACAAATACATCGAAAGAATTTATCAAATGTCGTATTCTTCACTTTCTGATAATGGAATGTTGCAGATATTTGGTTTTTAATTAAATGATTATATAGAACTCTTTAAAACTGTTTCCGCATATTCATGGCTATTTATTTTTTTTCGCAAATACTGAAATTTACGTAATATAGTAAAATACTCATTGAAAAATTGTCAAGACGACATTTGAATAATTCTTCCGATGTATTCATTATTAAGGGTTTTACTGTAGTAGGTTTGTTTATCCACACTCTCCTTGTTAATAAAAAGCTATTAAAGATCTAAATCAACCTTTAAGTTGTCTCCCAAATTTTATGTTTATTGGGCACAGTGGCATCATTTTCATTAGATACATTTCGATTTTTTAGAATTAATGTTCCAAATCTCAAAAAACATTCGTAATTTTTAGAATTAATGTTCCAAATCTAAAATAACATTCATAATTTTTAGAATTAATGTTCCAAATCTCAAAAAAATATTCGTAATTTTAGAATTAATGTTCCAAATCTCAAAAAATATTCTTAATTTTTAGAATTAATGTTCCAAAGCTCAAAAAACATTTTATCGATGTAGAGAAAGAAGATGAAGAAGGTAAATAAAAACAATTAAATTTTGCGAAAAAAAATGTGAATTTTAAAATATTAACTTTTCTTAAACAATTCATGAGAAGTTTCAAAAAGAAAATTGTTTAATTAAAATATGAACTTGAGGGGGAAGTAAGGCCGAGAAGTCAACGTTAGCATCTCCTCACCTTTCTTGCAACTAATTCATAATTGTATATTTGTTTATCTTCAATGTTTTTGTTTTTAGAACAGTTGAAGGACTCAGAAATACTCTTGAGGTAGGATATAACAATTATTTACTTAAATACTAGAGAAACAATAAACATCAAACAATAATATTCAACTAAACGTTATTTTCGTTTATTTAAAGATGAGATATTTTTTTTAAATTTCATTTGATTTGATTTGTAAAATTAGTTAAATTGGAAAACAAAAAATTGATGAATTTTTACAATCTTTTTTCAACCATTTCTGAATTATTAAAATGATATATATCATAAATTGATAAAAATAAAATTTTCTCATTAAGGTTTGTCTCATCAAATTTGAACATTTATTTAGTCCGAGTAGTGGAGGTAGTGCTCGAGTACTTTATAACCCTGACATTCATCATCTACAGGAGCAGGTCTTTTATACTTTATATCCCTGACATTCATTATCTACAGGAGCAGGTCTTTTATACTTTATATCCCTGACATTCATTATCTACAGGAGCAGGTCTATAATACTTTATATCCCTGACATTCATCATCTACAGGAGCAGGTCTATTATACTTTATATCCCTGACATTCACCATCTACAGGAGTAAATCTATTATACTTTATATCCCTGACATTCACCATCTACAGGAGCAGGTCTATTATACTTTATATTAAAAGTGCAAAATAAAAATAAAAAATTATAAAAGGAGCAAATCTGAGATTCTCAGGCTCCTGTGGGATATCGTCGTTTTCAGATTGGTTGCGTATTTGTTGAATATGATCTGTTTGATACTACAACTTGTTTACAAAATTGCATATATATGAACTTTCGTATAAATTTTACACAGTTTTATATCAATTTCTCGAGACAGGAACATCAGATAGATGCTTTATATGTATCGTTTAAGGTCTGAGATTTTCAGGTTTCAATACCCCCTTTCATTTTTCCTTTACAGTCCCTTTAATCATTTATTTTTTCTTCAGTTTGTTTCAATATTTTTATTTTCATTTTACTTTCCTTCAGGTGAAAGAGGGTCCCCTACAGTTTATGATAGAATATGAAGTAGAGAGAGGGGATAAAGGAGGAGAACTAGACCTGTACCAGGTATTCTACTCGTCTGAAGATTCAAAATGTCTTTCTCTCCGACGATACAAAATGTCGTCCTTAATCTCTTTTTAATGTCTAGAACTTTTTGTGATTATTTTTATTATTTTAGGGATATTTTGTACATTTTGTTGCGCCTGAAAACCTTCCACCGATGCCGAAACATGTAGTTTTTGTTCTTGATACATCAGGAAGGTAAGATACTGTTATTGATGCAATAGGAAGGTTATGTTATTGATGCATCAGTACGAGTATATTATTAATGCATCAGAAATATTATGTTATTGATGGATCAGGAAGAGTATGTTATAGATTCTGTTCTTGACACATCTAAAAGATTAGATTCTTGATGCATCAGGAAAATTATGGTCTTGATGCATCAATGGTAAGATTATAATCTTGATACATCAGGAAAGTAAGGTTATGTTCTTGAAGTATCAGGAAGGTAAGATCATATGATCTTAATAGGAAGGTAAGGCTATGTTCTTGAAGCATTAGTAAGGTAAGGCTATGTTCTTGATGCATTAGGAAGGTAAGGTTGTATCCTTGATGTATTTGGAAGGTAAAATTATATGATTCTGATGCATCAGGAAGGTAAGACACTGTTCTTGAAACAGCAGGAAGATTATGTTTTTGATGCATCTGGAAGGTAAAATTGTATGATTCTTTTGCATCAGGAAGGTAATATTATGTTTTTCTTGATGCAACAGGAAGGATTCTGATTTGATTTGTGTTTAGTAAACACTGTGAAAACTATTGTGTTTAGAATAAGATATATTTTGGATGTAACATACTAATTGTGTTTAGTATGAGATACAGGAAGATGCAGCAGACAGTAAATGCTATGAATACTATTGTGTTTAGTATGAGATACAGGAAGATAACAACATTTGATTTGATTTGGACCATCCTTACAACATTTGATTTGATTTGGACCATCCTTACAACATTTGATTTGATTTGGACCATCCTGACAACATTTGATTTGATTTGGACCATCCTTACAATATTTGATTTGATTTGGCCCATCCTTACAATATTTGATTTGATTTGGACCATCCTGACAACATTTGATTTGATTTGGACCATCCTGACAACATTTGATTGATTTGGCCCATCCTTAAAATATTTGATTTGATTTGGACCATCCTTACAACATTTGATTTGATTTGGACCATCCTTACAACATTTGATTTGATTTGGACCATCCTTACAACATTTGATTTGATTTGGACCATCCTTACAACATTTGATTTGATTTGGCCCATCCTTACAATATTTGATTTGATTTGGACCATCCTGGCAACATTTGATTTGATTTGGACCATCCTGGCAACATTTGATTTGATTTGGACCATCCTGACAACATTTGATTTGATTTGATCAATTCTACATTCTTGATCCGGCAAGGGTTGTAAATCAGATTAACTTTCTCTAAAAGAAAAGCCGCTTGAAATTACAATTATCAGTCCAATCAATCAATCTTATGTCTTGGTGTTGTTAAAAAGCAAAGATCAAAGATTTTTACTAGTAGATCAACTTCTGAAGGAAGTTGTAAATTAAAATAACAAGTTTAGCTAAATTTGGCGCTTTTTTGAATTTAAAATTTACCAAAGAACAAACTTAGTCTTTAATTGTTTGCACTTCTTGAAACGATTAGCAAAACAAAATTTCTTTTTCTTAAAACTTTTTTACCAGATTCTCTGATGAAATATCAGTTTGGGAGATAGAGGATAATTCTTTAGTTTCTGCAAGTTCAAAAAACCGTGAAAAGGCAATAGGTAAACTTTTAATAGACATAAAGGAATTGAGTCTTTGCCACAAACTCTGAATTTCTAATCCCTATATCTTTGCAATCTAATGTCGTATACTCAAGATATTTCAAACTATGAATAATGTTAGATCAAATAAATTAGGTTTAAAATATCAACGGGTTACACTTTCAGGTTGCAAAGATATAGGGATTAGATAATTTTAATTTGTGGGAAAGACTCAATTCCTTTTTCACATTTTTTGCTGCTATCCTCTCAAAAGCTGAAACTTTTCATTGTTGTCTTTTTGGAAAAAAAATATTAGACCAATCATTGCACAGGTACATTGGTAACTTGCAAGGAACTATCCCTGTACAACCTGGTGTTGTGGACCTTTCATATTTTCTTAAATATCAAAGGTTTACGCCATTAGATTTTAGAGATACAGAGATTTGTAATGTATAGCTTGCGTCAAAAGAAATGCAGGGGCAATTTGTTCCAAAACTAAAACTTGGCCCATTTCTAACACTGAGTGTTAGAAATGGGCCAAGTGTTAGCTTTGGGACTTAGAACTGGACCAAGTGTTAGTTTTGGAACTAATGTTCTTTGAAATACAAAATCATTTCACCCATTTACTTATTTCTGATATCTGTAACTTGGATGTCTTTGTTTGTGGCAGGGATAGGTTTTGATATATCTAGATAAAATTATTTGCGGCATGATGTTGAGTTTGAATTTTGTCTCAAAAACTTAGTTTTGTTAAATGAATATTTATCTCAATTTCTAATTTTATTTAAATTAAATCCAGCAATGCAAATTCTGTTTAAAGAATGTTTAAAGATTAAACTATTTTTTATTATTTAATTAATGTAAATGGACCAATGTTGATAAATTTATGTCCAAAATCCAATTAATAAATATTTTTTTCATTGATCAGATTTTGTCGGGAAGTTGGAGGCGGTTGGAGGAACTAACATTAATGATGCTCTAGTTCAGGAACATGTATCAATCAATCAATCAACTAATAAACATGTCTATCAACCAATCAATCAATCAACTAATAAACATGTCTATTAACCAATCAATCAATCAACTAATAAACATGTTTATCAATCAATCAACCAATTAATCAATTAATAAATTAATCATGAATTTTGTCTGTCTTTCAATCATCGAAACAATATTTCTGCTAATTAATCAATATATTTGTCAAAAAATTTTGTAAGTATTTGTATTTTGTAAGATTATGAATTATCAATTAATCCATTAATTAATTAATTAATTAATTAATATCTATCTATCTATCTATATATACAAAAACGAACCAAAAATGATCGTGTTTAAACGATCCTTTTTTGTTCATTTTTTTAGGAAAGCAAACTTTAACAAAATACAGAAAGATTTAGCATAGTCTATAATAAAGTTTTAATTTTTGTTAGTATTTGAATAAAGATTGATTAATGAATGTGTATAGGCTTTGAAAATTGTAACACACATTAAACAAAAAGGAAAAACCAACAAAAAAATCTAAATCTAAATTATATCTGTAAACATTTTTACTTTAAAAAGGGATTGTTATCTTAACGCTTTCCTCATCCTGTGGCCGAATTTAATGAATTTAAGCCTAGTCTTAAATCCGTCAAAAACCGGGTTCAATTTAGCGCCGGCATAAATCTTAAAGCAATGAATACGATATTAAGTGGAACCAACCATATTTAAGCCGCGGCTCAAACTCTGGTCGGCTGAGATATAATTTTTCAAAATTTCAATCATTTTGATTTTTTTTTAACTAATTGAACAATCCCTTTAAACGAAAATGTAACAATAAACTAATGTGCACAAATTAAGTTTTAAAAAGAAAAGAAAAAAGGTAAAATTTTGAATTTAAAGATATAGAGTAGTTAGTGCATTCCTCTTGTTCATGCTTTGAGTTAGCCCATTTCCCGGCCAAATATAGTTGAGAAGAATTTCAAATATTTTGCAGCAGACAATAAAATATAAAACGAGGCATTCTGCGCATTTCTTCTCTTATTAAAAACATTATTGGGACAGTTCTCAATCTTTGTAACTAAAATATGGGAATAATGAGAATTATAAATAATTTTGGTGGAAAATAAGATAAAAAACTTATGATTTTTTTAATTTTTCGACGGAGTTTATTTTAACTTTTCTATCTTTTCTTTTTTAAATATTTGGTTTGGTTTCTTAAAGGAGTTCTTGATGGGGTGCAATCCATGATTTTCTTCCTAACTGACGGTCATCCAACCCAGGGGGTTACCGATACAGTCCAGGTATATTTCAGGAATAACACATTAATTACATTTGAACCAAAAATGTCTAGATTGCAAATGTTTATAAAATTTCATGATTTGTTTGTTTTTTACCTGGAATCTGGCTAAAAGATGGACGTCTCTACAATATCTAGCAGATGACATTTTAAATTTGCTATAAAATATTTGCTGTATCTAAATATTCTTCAGTTTATCCTGCCATTAAAACCCCATTAAAAGAACTGAGCTGAAAACTTAAGAATGGTGAATATCAGGATTAATGCTTGATCCTCTCTTTTTGATAATCTCAAGATTAACATAATCTTGCAAGATTATCTTAAAAGTGTATGAAAAACGATAAAATTCAAATTAATATTTAATCATCTGAGAAACTGTAGCAGCCAATCAGAGAAAAGCGGGCAACCAATGAGAGAACAAAAATATTCTCATTAGAGAAAACAATTAACGTATATCCAAGGAGAGATAAAAAGAGTAGATTAGGACTAAAATGAAAAGTTTCCACAATGGATATTCGGATCAAGAAGTCAGGATTAAAGTTTATCCATTCTAAAGTTCCCAGCTCTGTATGCGTACATTCAAGTTACCCTCCATGCAAAGATGGCAATATTTGAATCATGCAACGGTACCTTGAAACCTTAATCTGATAAAACGGTACCTTGAAACCTTAATCTGATAAAACGGTACCTTGAAACCTTAATCTGATAAAACGGTACCTTGAAACCTTAATCTGATAAAACGGTACCTTGAAACCTTAATCTGATAAAAAATGTGGTAGATAGTAGATACTGTCGTTTTTCCTCAATTGAAAAGTGATAAATTCTGATAATTTCTCCATTGCTTCTTATAAGCAAGAAATGCATAAGTCACTTTTGTAGAAAACCCGCAAATGAAATAAAACAGTTTAAAGAAACAAAAAAGTGGATATCTAATTCATACTCTTGATCAGACAAAGCTTTTAAGGGTAAATCGAGCATTGCCATCTTTGCATGGAGGGTCCCTTTAAATCACGCTTATAATCCCTTTAAACAAAGTGAGTTGGAGATCAGAACTGGATTTGAACACCTAGTTTTGATATCCAATGCATGGCACTTAACCTGGCAGGGTATTCAAGAGAGATTCACAACAATGAAGTTCTGACTTCTGAGCTGGGAACTTTTGAACGGTGGATATCGGGATTAATGCTTGATCCACTCTTTTTCTTAATCTCGAGATTAAATTACGCTTGTTCTCCTCTTGTTATTAATCTCCAGATTTCAATATTAAAAACACAAATCCAGCCAAAAAAAAATATTAAAATGAAGTATTTTTTTAGATTTTAGAGAATGTTCGGGAAGCCAATAAAGACACGAAAGCAGCAATATTTAGGGATTTACAATTTAAAACTTATTATTTTTTAAATGTTTAAAAATGTAAAAACTTTTTTGCTAAATATTTTTTGTATTCTTGCTGAAAATGTTTAAAATTTGCTAATTTTAGTTTAGCATTTGGCATGCACACAGATTTTGGAATGCTGAAAACTTTATCTGTTCAGGTAAGGACTGTTAAAGCGAAACATCAACATTTGATTCGTAAAATCAAAGAAAACAAAAGAAATTTGAAATTAGGAAATTTTTGTTAGACATTATAAGGATAATGTTGGTGAAAACAAAGTTTGTTAGATATTCCTAACATTATTTTTATAATTTTTTAAACAATATCCCATCCTCCCTCGTATTTATTTCCTACTGACACTTTATTATACAGGGTTACCCACAAAAGATAATGACGACATAAAACATTTTAAATGGAAAGGTTGACATTTGGAGGTAAAATCGCGGTTAACTCTGCAAAATAATACAAAGAAAGCTCTATAAGAAACAATAACTTTAAGAAATAAGATTTTAAAAATCTGCCTCTCGAAGTTGTCTCTAAAGTCTCCAAGTTGTCTCTAAAGTCTCCAAGTTGTCTCTAAAGTCTCCAAGTTGTCTCTAAAGTCTCCAAGTTGTCTCTAAAGTCTCCAAGTTGTCTCTAAAGTCTCCAAGGTGTCTCTTAAGTCTCCAAGGTGTCTCTAAAGTCTCAAAGTTGTCTCTAAAGTCTCAAAGTTGTCTCTAAAGTCTCCAAGTTGTCTCTAAAGTCTCCAACTTGTCTCTAAAGTCTTCAAGGTGTCTCTAAAGTCTCCAAGTTGTCTCTAAAGTCTCCAAGTTGTCTCTAAAGTCTCGAGTCTTTCTGACCAAGAAATATATAGACCAGGAACCGCCATATCTGATGCGTCAAATCTGTGTACTGCAGTGGGAGGAGATCAAAACAAAAAAGTCAGGGGCAACGCATCATTTTTGATGGAAAAGGGCCCAAGGGGTGGAAGAAGAATATATTGTATTTTCCATATTGACCAGAAAGCCAAAAATCAGAAGTATTCCCTCTAACTTGATATATTAACTTGTTTTTTGTTGGACTGTTATATTAAATCAGAGCTTTAGTCCTTTCCCTTCAACTTCTGTGGGGGCACTGGGTTTGTTTACATTCCTCCCGCAGAGTACAGTACACAATTTGAGTTGGGCGTTCCTTTATATATTTCCTTGTTTCTGGTTAACTGTGTAGTATGTTAAGGTATGGGTTTTATTATTGTTCTTTTTCTTAGAACTATGGTTTTGCAAGGAAGATTTATACTGCATCAGATGCAAGTCTTCAACTTGAAGGTAAAACAATTATCATTAATAAAAAATAAAAGACATAGGATATATACACAGTTTATTCCAACCCTGCCCAATTATTCCAACCCTGTACAGTTATTCCAACCCTGCCCGGTTATTCCAATCCTGCCCTGTTATTCCAGCCCTGCCCAGTTATTCCAACCCTGCCCAGTTATTCCAATTCTGCCAAGTTATCTTAACCCTACCCAGTTATTCCAACCCTGCCCAATTATTCCAACCCTGTCTAGTTATTCCAACCATGCCCAATTATTCCAACCCTGCCCAGTTATTCCAATTCTGCCAAGTTATTCCTACCCTGCCCAGTTATTTCAATTCTGCCAAGTTATCTTAACCCTGCCCAGATATTTTAACCCTGCCCAGTTATTTTAACCCTGCCCAATTATTCCAACCCTGCCCAGTTATTCCAACCCTGCTCAGTTATTCCAACCCTGCCCAGTTATTCCAACCCTGCCCAGTTATTCCAACCCTGCCCAGTTATTCCAACCCTGCCCAGTTATTCCAACCCTGTCTAGTTATTCCAACCCTGCCCAATTATTCCAACCCTGTCCAGTTATTCCAACCCTGACCAGTTATTCCGACAGTTGTTTACAAATTACTTTTTTAAATGTTAGGATTATATAAAGAGGTTTCCAGTCCCATACTGTCACAGGTAATACATCGATAATTCTAATAATAGTGATAATTATAATTAATTTTCAAAATAAACACAATTAATTTTAATAATAATTTACAATTAATGTAATGATAAAATTGTTAATATGATCATTGATCAACGATGATTATGATAACAATGATAATAATCATAACACTGATAATAATCAAAATAATGATAATATGATAATAACTAAGATAATGATAATGATTATGATTATGATATTAATAATAATGATGAAAATAATGATGATAATTATAATAACACTGATAATAATGATTTTTAAACACAAATTGGGAATTTTTGCTTCATATTTTTTTAATTACTAATGTAATATGATAACAACATAACAACATTAGCAATGATAACAAATTACAATGATAATAATGATACTATTAGGTTGAGTTTAACTACTTGGATTCCTCCCTCTTAACCCAATCTATCACTGAAACTGTTTTCCATACTTTCTACCAGGAACTATATCTTTTATTCGAATCATTATCATCTTTAAATTTTATTTTCAAGATCTCAATATTTATTATTGTAAAGCGTTATGGATTACATACATACTGTTTTGAATAATGCTTTACAACATATTTATCAAAATCTTTATTAACTTGTGCAAAAATATAAAATATTAGGTTCGATACTATCTTTATTTCAAAGTAAAATTCTAGTTAAGTAAATTTTAAATTGATTATTTTTATTTTCGGGTTTTCTTAAAACGTCGCTCAAGGATTTTCTAAGGAAAGATAAAAAGTGAAATAAAAAATTCAACAATCTTTAAAATACTGAATCAAAGTCTCTGTTTAGATTATACCTGAAAGTAAATATAGAATTTTTCAAAAGACATTCTAAAAGTGGAGGGAAGATCCTGATCTTGATCCTGATCTTGATCCTGATCTTGATCCTGATCTTGATACTGATCTTGATCCTGATCTTGATCCTGATCTTGTTCATTTTCCGAAAAGTCATATAATTTAATTTACCATAGACATTTTAAATCATGAAGAAATAATAAGAAAAGGGGGTCGGGTGAGTAGGGGAAGGGTAGCAAGAAATGGGAAGGAGGTAGCAAGGAGAGAGGAGGGGGTAGGTATTGAATAAAAAGATGTGAGTAGGGAGGAGAAATGATAGTTGCTGGTATACTGGATGCTGGACAAGAAGAGCAGTTTATTGAATATGAAATCACTGCAACTCAGGTTTGCTAAAAAAAATGTTTTCCACTTATGGAAAATATTCTTATCTTGAGTTGGATTTTTCTGAAAATATGGTAATTTATTTGTCAAAAAATTGCCCTTTCTAAACATATAAAGACAAATGTCACAACTTGTCACCCCACACAAAACTTATCATCCTGTTTCAAAACTTGCCATTATTTACAACATGTGTTTCCCTATACAAATATGTAACCCTGCAAGGCTGTACTTATCATCTTGTTTAATGAAAATCAAAAAGTCGTCTTTATTTCATCTTATTCTTAAATAATTGTAAATGTTGATTACTTATAAAGTTGATAATGTTTAGAGTTCTGGTCAGTATATTCAGTCAGGAAATATTGCTGCTGCTGAGATTGTACCAATTAGGAAACCAAAATAGTTTTTATTTTTTATTTTAAAGTTTTGTTGCAAATTGCAATTCTTTGATTTAGAAAGAAACGGAATTACTGGCCTCGAACTTACAGACTTACATATATCTTTCCTTTCTTTTGGAAATCCCAAGAACAGGAGTTTAGGTCTGAATAGTTCCAAAGACGTACTAAAGAGTGTATTTATTTTTTTTAAATAATTAATATTTTACAAATTATGGTTTAGTGAGACTGTTGACACGTATATAGATTTCCTACCTGACACACGGTAAATAGGGAGTAGGGAATAGGGAGTAGGGATTAGGGAGTAGGGAGTAGGGAGCAGGGAGTAGGGAGTAGGGAGTAGGGAGTAGGGAGTAGGGAGTAGGGAGTAGGGAGTAGGGAGTAAGTAGAGAGTAGAGAGTAGAGAGTAGAGAGTAGAGAGTAGAGAGTAGAGAGTAGAGAGTAGAGAGTAGAGAGTAGAGAGTAGAGAGTAGAGAGAATTTCATGCCATTTACTTATTGACATTCTAGGATTGAGTACAATTTTCTGGAAAGACTATGGGCCTATCTTACAGTGCAGAATCTGTTCTCTAAACTTTCCAAGGTAAACTATTGATTACTGTATTCTTCTCTAAGACACTGTAAAATATCGTCTTCTTCTCTAAGAAACCATAAAATATCGTCTTATTTTCTTAGAAACTATAAAATATCGTCTTCTTCTCTATGAAACTATAAAATATCGTCTTATTTTCTTAGAAACTATAAAATATCGTGTTTTTCTCTAAGAAACTATAAAATATATCGTATTCGTCTCTAAGAAACTATAAAATATCGTCTTCTTCTCTATGAAACTATAAAAAATCGTCTTATTTTCTTAGAAACTATAAAATATCGTGTTCTTCTCTAAGAAACTATAAAATATATCGTATTCGTCTCTAAAAAACTATAAAATATCGTGTTCTTCACTAAGAAACTATAAAATATATCGTATTCGTCTCTAAGAAACTATAAAATATGGTCTTCTTCTCTATGAAACTATAAAATATCGTCTTCTTCTCTAAGAATCTATAAAATACCGTGTTCTTCTCTAAGAAACTATAAAATATCGTCTTCTTTTCTAGAAAATTATAAAATATTCTCTTCTTTTCTCCAGGATTTTTGCAGAAGTTTGCTATTTTACGTTAGTAATGTAAGAAAAATACATAATGAAAAGCAAAAACCATTTCTCTAGTTTGATCAGCAGTGTAGGAGTAACATAAAGATAAGATAAGATATAATTTACTTATATTTAGCTAAGCATACCCTGCTCAACTACTCCTTACTATTTATTAAATAGCTTAACATTTTTTTACTTTCCAGGGGCAGTTCAACGATTGCATCTTATATAAGCTAACAAAGAAAAAGTTAAAATTTCATGAAATGTTAAATAGGAAACCTTTGAGCAAATTTAAGAAGTTTGTTTATTATTTCCTGTTCAGGGAGAACTTGTTTCCTGTGTCCAGCCTGGGCCTCTGCCACCAGTTCTAGGTAAAACTAGTTTATTTTTGTACTGCATCAGAAATTGCGTAATTTTGTAAATTTTTAAAGAGCAGGGATTGGTCATTTGCAGGTTCCTCCCATTTTTCTAAGAATCCCCTATTTACCAATTTTATGTAAAAATTACGTATAATTAGCTTATTTTATGAATAGTTGGTGACAATAAAGCATAGGGAAGGTTTTTTTCCGATTTAGAGTTTATTCATAAAATTAGGTTTCTTCCTTATATTTAGAGGAAAAGAAAGCCCTAGATATCTGTAAATCTGCAGATTAAGAGGAAAACATGTATTTATTAATTTGAATTTATCAAATTATTGGGTAAAACTGGGTATATATCTTTTGTGAAATTAAATAATTATCTAGAGCAGGGGAGGGTCCAGTTGCCTGTGATATTATATTCCATTTTATTTAGAGGAATTGGGGACAGGGGATAGTTTTAACCATAAGATTGGGTTTCTTTAGATGTATGGGAATAACCTTACTTACCAAATTATGTAATCTAAGCGTAAATATTACGTAAAATTTTATGCAGATTTGGTGAAAATACGGCATTAGGTTTTATGGGAAGGCACAGAGAATGGGCTGTCTGTTTCTAGAGATTTATTTATTTATCTGTAATATTGGATTTCTTTAGATCTAGAGAAAGAGGGAGCTGGGGATGGCCTTGTCATCTGTAATAACCTCGAGAGGGCTCTTTATCTGTCACTTAGGTAAAACATCTTCTTTTTAAATTATCACGCTTTTGTGTAGACCTCTTTTACATGACAGTTGGTAAACAGTTTAGAATGTCGTCTTCCATAATTATTTGACGTTAAATGATTACCCATGTTCGCCGTCCGAGGCAGTAAACACAAGTGATTGCCCCTCTTGCTTGGCTCAGAAACACAAGGCCTTGTTCACATTATTTGTTAACGATTAGGAAAAAAATAGTTCCTTATTTGTTACAATAGAATCTATGTAAGAAAGTCCCGGGAAAAAAAGTTTCTAGAAAAAAACCTGGAAATAAAAAATTTGGGAAAAAAATCCGAATTCCGAAGTCCTTGGAAAAAATGTCACTGGAAATAAAGTCCTGTGTTTTGAATTTCTGGGACTTTTTTCCAAGGACTTTTTTGGCGGTAACCGTTACATTACTATGTAAACAATCCCTATCTTCTCTTTGTAGTTCAATTCAACTCTCAAATTTTTATTAATACCTGTCTAGATACCAGTTTGTGACTCCACTCACCTCCTTGGTGGTTGTGAAGCCAGACCGGGCCGAGAACGGTGATATCGGGGAAGCAGACCGGTTTCAGGACAAGCTCAGTATCCTGTCCGGAACACCTAGCACTCTATACCTGTACAGAAGTACACTTGTATTTGTAGCCTTTCTCTATGTACTGTATTAGGACTAAACATTACTAATTTTAGATGAAAAGTACATTACATTTAGAGCTGCATGTTCTTAGCTTACAGATTGAAATTCGCCTGTAAAATTACATTAATAAAGGGATTGTAAGCGTAATTTCATTGTACCCCTCCAAGTAAAGATAGCAATGCCCGATTTACAATGGAACCATTGAAATCTTAATCTGGTCCAATTGTGGAAGATAATATCGTTTTTCTGACTCTTTAAATTTCTGCAGCTTGTTTCTTATAAGCGATTGAAATGTGCAACTCACTTTTGCAGAAAACAAGAAATGAAAATAAACAAAATCATCAAATCTAATTTTTTCTTGTTCAGATTAAGGTTTCAAGGCCTGGCATTGTAAATCGGGCATTGCCATCTTTGCATGGAGGGTCACTTGAAATTTCGCATACAGTCCTTTTAAAGCAATTACTATACTACAGAATCTTATGCTTAATTATTTTTTAAAGTTGTCTTCATAATCGACCTGTAGTGAATGCATATAACTTAAAAGATTTGATTTGCCACACTTTTAGATCTTTGTATCATTTGATCTATAAAAATGTGACTCTATTTACTATATATATTTTGACGAATGAGGGATTAGAATTATACCTTTTAAGACATTACTTAGTAATAAGCTTGTGAGCATACAATTTTACGAACTAGAAATGCGCAAAATACATCAACTTTAAACTATACCCCATGTAAAATGTAAGTGGGGGGGGGCTGCCTTGCTTCCTCTGTGAAAACGTCCCTGTTTTAACTTTAATTGTTGTACATTAACATCCGGCTGTGTTTTGTAAATTAAATTCTAAATTAATAACATTTATCTCAAATTTATTGCTGAAGCACTTTTAGACCTGCAATTTGCTACATTTGAATTTTTATCTAATATTTTTCATTTTTTGGAACCATTATATCTATTTAATGTTTTATTTTTCTCAATAAAATTTGACGAATTATTTCATTACTTATTCAAATATCTCAATTATTATTATTATTAATAATAATAATACAGAAGAACAAACAGATAGAAAATGTTGTTGTGATAAGCTAATAAACATTTTATCATTATTATTGATACTTTTACTCTTTTTTTGTATATTAATGATATGAAATAAGAACATACGAACAAAAAAAGTTTTTTTAAAGAAGCTAAAATATTTTCTAGCGCGAACAGATTGAATAGTTTAGGTTAAAGGGAGTGTTCGCGAAAAATGAAAGGGGGTGTAGATTTAATGCGATAAAAAAGCGCCTTTGATCGCTACTAATCTTACTTCTATCTGTTGCATCTATAAGGAGAAAATTGTTAAAGACGTCTCATACCGAATAACTTAGTGTCCATACAAATTGAGAAAATTGCAACATACGACTTAGACCGTAAAAAAATCAATTTAATTTTAAACAAATCATTCAGATAGTCATATATAGTCATCGATTATCTTTCGCCACATTTGTATATAGTTGATTTTTCATAATATGTTTTAATTGTTATGATCAGGGTGTTACTTATAAAAACATTTATTCCTGTTTCAAGGATTTTTGGTAATGAAGACGACATTTTCATATTTTCCAGGAATGTTCGAAAACAAGTTGTAAGCTAAATATTATTTTAAAAAACAAAATCAAAACTAGTATGAAATATCAACTATATACAAATGTGGCGAAAGATAATCGATGACTATAGGTCGTAATATCTGAATGATTTGTTTAAGATTAAATTGATTTTTCACGGTATGTATTCTTGAATCGATCTAATAAAGTCACGGGAAAGAAATAAAAAGAGCAAAAAGTCCGAAATAAATCAAAGCCCGAATAAGAGTCCTTGGAAACAGGTCGTATATTATAAATTAAGTCCTTCATGTGTCCCTAAATGGACTCCTTCTTAATAGCATCCTTCATGGGGGACATGGGTGAGGGGGGACATTTGTATTACTTTCTTCAAGTTGAAGAAAGAGAAAAATCGTCAGAAATTCTATTAGAAATATTAGATCAATATTAGAAATATTAGAAATATTAGAAATAATGCGCAAAGCGCCAAAGAAAAATGTTGTTGATATTCTTATTTTTTTTAGTCATAATATTATAAAAATGGGCTACAATCATTATTATGTATAAAGTCGAGGGGGGGGGGAAATTAGATTCCCCCCTCCTCCAATATAATTGCGCCAGTGCTATACTAGCTGAAGTGCCCGGCGTTAGCCGTGGAATTTAAAAAAAATCGAATTAAAAAAAATTCGATTTTTGAAAAAAATTCTGTTTAAAAAATCTATTTTTACCTATGTTACCCCCAGGATACCCATATGGTTTCTTTAAAAAAAAATTTAAATACATTCATACATATTTACATTATACATACATCCTAACATATATATATATATATATATATATATATATACATACATAGATGAGAGAAGAGCTTTGTTATATGGTGATAATAATGTGAATCCCCTTGTAAATGTTTTAATATACATAATTGTATCAGCTACATACAGGGTTTGCCTAGAATCATATTGAATGATGTATATTGGAAATTAGCATGTCTTGAATAAAATAAAAAAACGAAAAAATATTAAATGATTTAAAATATATAAATATATTGAATAATTAGATTATTAACAGAAAATATGCAAGGTTCGGTAAAATATCTAAGTAAGTATTATAAAATCAGAGTTGGGGCCAAGTAATCAGTTCCTTTGATATTTTATTTGTAAACGATGGTTTTCTCTTTTTCCCACGAAAAGAAAGAAGAAAGTAGGAGAAAGTATTAGTTAAGCTTTCTATTTATTTCGTAGATTTTCTATATCTCAACAAACGGAGGCTTGTACTGAGTTCACAAACATCAAAGCTATTCTTCTCTAAACTCAAGTTTAGATCTGATGACGCGCCTTCGTTTTTTTCATTTTGTTCGTTCATCGTTCGTGAACAATCCATTTCGTTCGGTTTTTTTAATCGCTCAAAAAATGATTTCGTTTGTTCTTGAAGTTATTGTTCATTTTCCACTTATTTCGTTCGTTTTCCCACTGAACGATCGTTCAGTAAAATCGTTTGCTCGTGACCATACATTTACAGAGTTACATGACAGAATCATGACTGTATCCTTTCAACCTGTGTGGCTTCATCTTAGTAAAAATCTAAAAAAAATCGTCGTACTTTATAGAAGAGATAAGATCTGTCAATTTCCCTGCTTGTCTCTGCAGCAAACAAAACCTTCAAAGAGAATTTAACTATAGATAGATATATAGGTACCATTGTGAATCGAGTATATAACTCTCTAATTGAAGAATCACCTGAAATTACGGTTAGTCCAGTTTTAAGAAGCTGCATACAGGCTACAGATTCAATTTTTAATAAGCTTCAAACAAGCTACAGGTTCAATTTTTAAGACGCTGCATACAGGCTACAGCTTAAATTTTTAGGAAGCTGCAAATAGGCTACAGATTCAATTTTTAAGAAGCTGCATATAGACTACAGCTTAAATTTTTAAAAGCTGCATACAGGCTACAGCTTCAATTTTTAAGACGCTGCATACAGGCTACAGCTTAAATTTTTAGGAAGCTGCAAACAGGCTATAAGAAGCTGAATACAGGCTATAGCTTCAATTTTTAGGAAGCTGCATATAGGCTACAGCTTCAATTTTTAGGAAGCTGCATACAGGCTACAGCTTCAATTTCCTCGGAATGAAAGGGCTGAAATCCCGGGTTTTCCACAAATTGCGCAGGGTGAACTGTAGAAAAGCTAGGACCGGTTACATTGATTTAGTTTGATTCTGTGTATAGTAACAAATTAGTCAGCACTGTAAGAACTGTAATGCATTATAGCGAGCAATCAGATACTGTATGCAATACGTAATATATATATATATATATATATATATATATAACGCAATATAGGAAATGTATCCTTCATTTCAATTTTAAGTGCTTTTCATTGTGAATGTGAACTGTGAACTGCAGCGAACTGTGAACTGTGAAGTGTGAACTGTGCTTATTTACTGTGATTGTTATTTACTGTGTACTGTAAACTTTGCACTAGAAACTGTCCATTTACTGTGTAAATATTTAGTTTCTGTACTGTAAAGTTGCTGTACACTGTGAATTTACTGTGTACTGTAATCTGTGCATATTTACTGTGTAAATATATGGTTTCTGTACTGTAAACTGTGCATATTTACTGTATAAATATATTGTCAGTGTACTGGGAATTGTGTGCTGTACGCTGTGAATTTACTGTGTACTGTAAACTGTGCATATTTACTGTGTAAATATATAGTCCCTGTACTGGGAACTGTGTACTGTACACTGTGAATTTACTGTGTACTGTAAACTGTGCATATTTACTGTGTACTGTAAACTGTGCATATTTACTGTGTAAATATATAGTTCCTGTACTGTGAACTGTGTACTGTACACTGTGAATTTACTGTGTACTTTAAACTGTGCAAATTTTCTGTGTAAATATATAGTTCCCGTACTGTAAACTGTGTAATGTTATACTGTGTTCTTATACTGTGTTTTTATCAGTTTTCAATGAGTGCGTACTATGAACTATGTACTATGAACTGTGCACTGTGAACTGTATGCTGCGTTCTATGAACTGTGAATATTGAACTTTCATTGATGACTGTAAATTGTGTACGTGTAAACTCTGCACTGTTCATTGCGTAATCTGTAATGCTTATTGTGAATTGTGAGCTGTGTACCGTAAACTGTGTACATGTACTGTGAACTGTGAATTGTGAATTGTGTACCGTAAACTGTGTACATGTACTGTGAACTGTGTGTGAATTGTGTACCGTAAACTGTGTACATGTACTGTGAACTGTGAATTGTGAGCTGTGTACCGTAAACTGTGTACATGTACTGTGAACTGTGAATTGTGAATTGTGTACCGTAAACTGTGTACATGTACTGTGAACTGTGGATTGTGAATTGTGTACAGTAAACTGTGTACATGTACTGTGAACTGTGAATTGTGAATTGTGTACCGTAAACTGGGTACATGTACTGTAATAATGTGAATTGCAAATAATAATAATGAAGCTTGAAATTTTTATCAGTTTAAAAGGCATCCAATTTTTAGCAATTTTAATTAATATTTTTCCTAATTTTTGTCTTGTTTTAGATGAAAAAGTAGAAAGTGATATTTTTTAAATGGAGAGGTTAGATGAGTATGATAATGAGGAGAAGGAGGGGATGGATAAGTATGAGGATGAGAAGAGACTAAATGATGATAAGAATGGAATAACTATCATTATACACAAGGACAAAGGTATATATATTTCTTAAAATTAAGTACATGCAAAAAAAAATGACGATAATATTTAGACACTAAGTGATTCACAAACTGTCTTGTTTAGGGGGACACACGGTGTATTATAATGTACATGGTGTCCCAGGAAACATTACAGGTGGTGGTGAATAGTTTAAAATGTCTTCTTTCATCTTGATCCCAAAGAGAATAATGAAAAATATTAAATGGCAGTCATATTATAGTAAAATTAATATCAAAGTAAAATATGTTGGAATAAAAGATTTTCTTAGCAAAACAAACTGCAAAAAGTTTAGAATATCCATAAATACAGAATATGGAGAAGACATTCAAAACTATTCACCTTCTGTCATGTTTCGTGGGACACCCTGTTTATTTATAAACTTGTAGGAAGCTTAGAACTCCTTTCTAAAAGTAATATATAACTTTTAAATTGTTTTTAGTTTTTTTTAATAAACAATATAAAAAAGAGAAATTATTTTGAGGCTAAATTTTGTATTTCTACCGGCCGTGAACTTTTTTTGGGTAATGTGAGGCTCTTATAGGCCAGACTATGCCGTGTATTTTGGCGTTTTATTGACACAAACAGACCGACAGACAATTTCAGATTGTGTCCGCTGTAAATATCGCAAAGAAATTGCCCTTGTGCACTGATCTAGCCGAGGGGGGTAGTGCTGCAGAAGTCCTCAAATTGTAATCACAGCCACCCACGTCCCACACGTGTTTTGCGGCATTCAAGCTCCTCAATTTGAAATCACCATCACCTCAATTTGTAATCACCGTAAAATATTGTTTTCTAATATCTTAATTTTATGCGGTGATTACAAATTAAGGAGCGTGCATGCCACAAAACACGTTTAGGTGGCTGTGATTATAAATTGAGGACTTTTGCACTTCCCCCCCCCCCTCTCTAGCTAACTTGCAAAATGAATATATGGACTTTTAAACATTTTTAGTTTCACTGGAATTTTCAAAGTCGTTGTGGATTCAATAAATAATTCAATTGTCATTTCCGATATATTTAATCAATTCTTTATTTTCTAGATATGTCCTCTCGCCCCTGGGACCAGGCCGCCATTAAAAATCTGTCCATCCTCCATCTTGTTTTTGGAATCATCCTTTTCTTCTCTCAAGTAATCATATTTGAATTCTTTTAATAAATTCGGTATAATTGTTTTGATTTTTGTTGGATTGTTATTACAATGTCGAAATCTGGATTGCTAAGTTTGTGGATTTATTGTTGTTTCTTCCCACATTTTTATAAAATTCTCTGAGAAAGACGATATTTGTTTCTAGATTCCGATGGATGTTTTTAATGACATCAACGCCGGATTAATCCTGATAAATCAGGGATATGTTGCAGGGGTTCTTTATTCGGTTACAGGTAAAGTCCTTTTCCCCTTTTTGGAAGGGGTTTATTATTTTTTGTTAAGTTAATAGCAATTCTATTTAGATTTTTTATAACTTTCCAGGATTTTAGTCGCTGTTTAACTAAAATATTATTGATAAAATGACTTGCTCAAAACTACTTTGCTTTTATACAAAATTTATAGGTGGGCATCGTTTTTGTGAACAAATTAGAAAACGAACAAATTTTTTCATTCAGAAAAAAACGAACATCGAACGAATGACTTGGATTGTTCAGAGTTTTTTCGAACAAACTTTTTTAAAGCAACATTGTTTTTTACTGAAAGAACGATTCGTTCATCAAGAAAAAAATGTAATCTTTAAAAGTAAAAAAAAATTATTTTCAGCTGGTCTTGGATTCATTACAAGGATTAAGAAGGAAAAAGTCTGGGTCTCTCTCTATCTAGGTTAGATTACAAAAAATAATGTTCTTCAATATTTTTTAATTAATTTATATTTTTTCAGTGTTCAGCGTTTTATCAATCCTATGGACAATTGTATTATTAGGTAAGAAAAAACATTTCATCACAAAATGGTCGCAACATTTTTTGAAGAATTTAAATGGTTAAGTAACTCTGTCTTTTTCTTCATAATTTATATAAATATACAGGGTGTCCCAATAAACATGGGAATTCAGTGACGAATTCGATGATCGTCTTTTCAAATAATTCTTTGATTTAGTATAGTGATACCTACTGAGAGAGATATAATCCGAAAGATTTTCGTCTGCTATGTTTACAATTTGTTTGTTTGTGTATTGTCTGCATACGGTTGTACTTAGTAAAACAAGAAAACTGCAGTATACAAACAGAGTAAACTTGTCCGTCTTCACGGTTTATCTTGCAAAGACTGAAGTAGACACATCTTTGTAGCCATTCACCGTTTTCATAAAATAAACTCTAGCAGACTTAATAATATTGTGTTTTTAAAATCGGTTATTACAACGCTAATTCATAACAAAGACGATATTGAATTCGTTACTGAATTCCCATGTTTATTGGGACACCCTGTATATAAGTTATGAGAATATGGAAGGTCTAAACAAAAATTTCTCACCTTCTAAAGGAAAAGTTTTCTTAAATTATTTTACTCTTTATTATTTTAGAACATCTAATTTTAGAAAACCTAAATCTTTGATATGAATGAGTTTCAATAAATATCGAATGCCACAATTTATGAAGAATAACTGTATAATTTTTGAAAATGGATTTTTAAAAATTTTACACCAAAAAAAAGAAATAATATCTTCAACCAATGTAGCTGTGTCCTGCTGTGCCCTAGTGGATCTTAATATAAGGAGAAGGTATTTTTTTAATAATTTAATATTTTAATTTTCTCGAAAAAATTTGTAAATAAAGCAGTTATATATTCTTTTGCTATTTTGACAGTCTTGGCATGAAAAAATGCAATTGTGCAGGTTCAAAATCATTAGATTTTCAAGCTACTGCATAAACATATTTGATTAATAACAACATACAATACACGTAAGATTGTTTAAATGTCGTCTTCCTTTTTCAAAATTTTGTTTTATCCAACTGTATATTCTGCTATTCTAATATTCTGTATACGAGATACTTTCATAAGAATATTGTATTTTAATCCAGATCAAGAAAAATGGAAACTTTTTTTTGTCAGACAGGATTCTCCCGTTGGGGATTGAGATGGAAGCTCAACCAGTACTACAATGAGGCCCATAAAACCATATGTAAATGAAGACGACATTGAAGCAATTTTATTTGTATTTAATTTTACTTTGCACGTGAACATCAACTAATTAAGTAAAATAAGTTTGTCTATTTGATATAAAATTGCTTCATATTCTCTCTGAACTTTTTAAAATCTCACTTTATATGTACATCTGTTCCTATTGCACAGTTTTATAGGTTTCACAGTATGTACACTGTTCCTATTGTACAGTTTTATAGGTCTCACTGTATGTACACTGTTCCCATTGTACAGTTTTATAGGTCTCACTGTATGTACACTATTCCTATTGTACAGTTTTATAGATCTCACTGTATGTACACTATTCCTATTGTACAGTTTTATAGTTCTCAGTGTTGTACACTGTTCCTATTGTACAGTTTTATAGGTCTCACTGTATGTACACTGTTCCTATTGTACAGTTTTATAGGTCTCACTGTATGTACACTGTTCCTATTGTACAATTTTATAGGTCTCATTGTATGTACACTGTTCCTATTGTACGGTTTTATAGGTCTCACTGTATGTACACTGTTCCTATTCTACAGTTTTATATGTCTCACTGTATGTACATTGTTCCTATTGTACAGTTTTATAGGTTTCACTGAATGTATACTGTTCCTATTGTACAGTTTTATAGGTCTCACTGTATGTACACTGTTCCTATTGTACAGTTTATAGATCTCACTCTATGTACACTGTTCCTATTGTACAGTTTTATAGGTCTAACTGTATGTGCACTGTTCCTATTGTACAGCTTTATAGATCTCACTGTATGTACACTTTTCCTTTTGTACAATTTTATGGGTCTCACTGTATGTGTACTATTCCTATTGTACAGTTTTATATGTAGGTCTCACTGTATGTACACTGTTCCTATTGTACAGTTTTATAGGTCTCACTGTAGGTACACTGTTCCTATTGTACATTTTTTTAGGTCTCACTGTATGTACACTGTTCCTATTGTACAGTTTTATAGGTCTAACTGTATGTACACTCTTCCTAATGTACAGTTTTACAGGTCTCACTGTATGTACACTGTTCCTATTGTACAGTTTCATAGGTTGCACTGTATGTACACTGTTCCTATTCTACAGTTTTATAGGTCTCACTGTATGTACACTGTTCCTATTCTACAGTTTTATATGTCTAACTGTATGTACATTGTTCCTATTGTACAGTTTTATAGGTCTCACTGTATGTACACTGTTCCTATTGTACAGTTTTATAGTTCTCAGTGTTGTACACTGTTCCTATTGTACAGTTTTATAGGTCTCACTGTATGTACACTGTTCCTATTGTACAGTTTTATAGGTCTCACTGTATGTACACTGTTCCTATTGTACAATTTTATAGGTCTCATCACTGTATGTACACTGTTCCTATTGTACAGTTTTATAGGTCTCACTGTATGTACACTGTTCCTATTGTACAGTTTCATAGGTCTCACTGTATGTACACTGTTCCTATTGTACAATTTTATAGGTCTCATTGTATGTACACTGTTCCTATTGTACGGTTTTATAGGTCTCACTGTATGTACACTGTTCCTATTTTACAGTTTTATAGGTCTCACTGTATGTACACTGTTCCTATTGTACAGTTTCATATGTCGCACTGTATGTACTGTATGTACCTATAAATGCAAATTATTTTTCGTACAATGCAAAAAAGATGTTCCAAGCTTATTTACAAAGGATGAAAGGATGAAACTAGGCAGAGACGACTGAACAGAATTTATTCATTCTTTTTTCTCTCAATCTTTTTTTTTATAAGCTTATTTTTTCTTTGCTAAATCAGAAATCAAACTGTCATAAACTGTTTTTATGTATAAAACCATGGATATATTTTAAAACAAAATTAAGCCTTTAGATCAATATTTTTAAAAAGGTTAAGGGTGACATTTTAATGATAGGGAAAGAAAGAAACAAGTTTACAAATGCATGAAATCATAAATCTAAGGAAACAGAAAGTAAAAATTCTGTACAGTCGTCTCTGAAATCATATCCTTTGTGGGTACACCTGTATTTATATTTGATTTTAGTTGGAGAACGATTCCAGACACTACTGTAGACATCCTCAATACACTTCTATCTATCCATCTCATCTGCTCTGTCATTCAAGGCAAATCTTTTATTATTGAAATATTTAATTTACAGAAACTCTAGAATAAATGTCGTCTTTGTTGTTCTTTATTTTATTCCGTAATTTTGTTGAAAACAATTCATAAGAAAATAATACTGTAATGTTTATACTGTAAACTGTAAATTCGAGATTTCTCCCAAAATGGTTTTAGATCTTAAAATGTTATAAAATGATATCTTAATTTTTCTTGAAAATTCAAAACTCCAAAATTTGACTTCATCGAAAATAAAAATAAAAAGATTTTTTAAAGTTGGAACAACGATCGCTAGCGGTGCTATGTCTTGTATGGTATGTATTAACAAATTTACAAAATCACGAGTAATAAGTACTAATCTTATGCAAATTTTACTTTTAATATGTGAATTAGAAAAGGTCAGGAAATTTACAAATGAGATATGACCTAGCCTCAGTTTAAAGGGACTGTAAGTGTAATGTTAAGTGACCCTTCTTGCAAAGATGACAATGCTCTATTCACAAAGGTACCCTAAAATCTTTATCTGGTAAATATTGTGGAAGATATTGTCGTTTTTATAGATTTTAAAGTGTTAAACTCCTGGATAATCCTTTTATGTTTTCTTGCAACCCTAATTGAAAATAATCAGTTTTCAAAATTATAAGTATATAATTCATACTACTTCAAACTTGATCAAACAAAGCTTTTAAGGGTACCGTTGTGAATCAGGCATTACCATCTTTACATGAAGAGCCAATTGAATTTACGCTCACAGTCCTTTTTAACCACGTTTCAATCGACTTTGTTAACGTAACAAAGGTTATATTTGATAACAATTTCAGACTTTGTAAAAATTTTAATCATATTAATTTTAATCATATTGATTTTAATCATATTAATTTTAATCATATTAATTTTAATCATATTAATTTTAATCATATTAATTTTAATCTTATTAATCTTAATCATATAAATGTTAATCATATTAATTTTAATCATATTAATTTTAATCATATTAATTTTAATCATATTAATTTTAATCATATTGATCTTAATCATATTGATTTTAATCATGTTAGTTTAATTTTTAGTTTATTTGCTGCCCCAAGCCTAGAGCTATGCAGCAAGGAATGAAACAAAAACCAATGCAGATACTTTCTGGTTTACAGGTACATACAGGGTGTCTCACAAAAAAAACACAATTAAGGTACTCCACTTTATGGAATGCTTGTGAGTCTTGCAACTTTCGTAATGCACATTTTATCTAAGATTAAAGTCAATTTTATTGTTTTGTTTGATAATTAATTAAAAATTAAATCAAAAATCACATACAGTTGTTCAATATGTTTAAATTGCAATAAAAATGAAAAATCACCACTCATACCACTACGATTTTGCTTAGAGTTGATAATTATGCTATCACACATGTTTTGTCTTTTACACTATTTTGGTGTTTTGCTATATTTTTGTTTATAACCATAGATTATTAAGAATACAGACAGAACCCTAGATGTCGTATTTTCAAGATTTAGAGGTTATTCCTTCACAATAACCCTGAGACTGAAGCCCGAAGGAGTTACGCACATGCTCTCTGTCTCTGTCTTTTATTTTAACGCCGCATGCGCGTAACTCCTTTGTGCTTCTGCCTCAGGGTTATTGTGAACGAAAAACCCTTAAAAATAAAAAAGACGTATCTAGTATTGTTATTAATCTAGGTCAAGAACCAATTAAACACTAAATTTACTTGAAACCAATATATTTCAGATTGGAATAGGCGTGTTCTTAATCATTTGCTTCCCAGTAAACTACTATGTTATAATGTAAGAACATTTTTAAAAATTTGTTTCCTTTTTCCTACCCAGCAAACATTTTGCCTCCGCACTTCCTACTAGCTATCATTTAGTTTTTTACCCAGCAAACATTTAGTCTCCGCACTTTCTACTTGCTATCATTTAGTTTTCTACCCA